CGCTCACGGTTTTTATCCTCGCTGGAAAGGAACAGACTACTGTGCTGAACCGCTTTCAGGTCTCGCATACCCTGTATGCGCCCTTTAATCAACGAAATAGTCAAGCCATCCGATCCACTGGCAATGTCCTAGGATATTTAGATAATCATCTTCTGAATGGATGTGTCTCTCAATAACTTATAAATACAGAGCTTAAAGACCCGACCACCTAATAACCCTCCTCCAATTCAACACAATCCGCGCGCTCGCCACAAACCGCACCCTAATCTCGGGAATCCTCACCACCCCGCTAGACTGCTAACGAGGAAGTCGCACATGTCATCCCCTACCCATCACACCCCCAGCTTGTTCCTCCACAACTTCTCCCGACAGCACTGCAACAAACAGTGCCCCACGGCGACTGGATCGACCTCTTCCCCTCTCCCGAGGGTCGAGACCGTCTGATTCTGGCCGTTGCGGCTGGTAGTCTTGACGAGGATGAATTGTGGGCTGATTGCATTGGTGGCTTGTACGAGGGATTGCCTGATGCTGCACATGTTGACGGTGATGCTGGTGTTGAGCGACATGGAATGATTGTGGGGTCGCCGCCGTGGGATATTAGGGGGTGGGAGATAACGAAGGGGTCCCTGGAGAAATGGGGGCGGTTGTTTGGCGATTTGCCCGGGGGCGATGGAGGGGACGACTCGCTGGCGGAGGGAGAGGGTAGAGGAGCCGTTATAGGTTTAGTAGGAGCTTCTCCAGCTCATCCTATATGATTTTGTGGGTTGTAGCACCGCATATCAATGGCCCATAGGTGTGTGCAGGTTGTCGGCTTGTCGAATTTTACAGAGTTTGGTTATCTGATATTTTCTATGGCCAATGATCCCACGGGGTCATTAAGATGGGAGGTCTTGCTGCTTCGTTCTGTGGCTAATCTGGAAAGTAGTACCAGCCGTAGTTCCATTGCTTTGAAAGATTCGAATACCTACAAGGTCCTACCGTGGGATCAACCGGAGTACATAAAGAGGAAATAGAGGAGGCGGAACACAGAGGTCATTGGGTACATACCAGAGCACTCATAGTAGAAGTCAAATGGTACAGGTGGAAATGCGGCTGTTTATGGCCTCGGTAGTAGTCATTTTCGGCGTCTATTTCACTGGTCCTGATAATCTAGGCGTAACAGCCTCGACAAGTTATAATGTCACGTTAGCAAAGAAGTTTAATGCCTGTTTCTTTTCAGATTCATGTTGAGAGGATCACATTGTAGCCTGTCCTCTTCTATAGCCACCATTATCACTTCCTTCTGTTACTCTGCTACCAGAGGGCAACAGGACCCTCCGCCATCTCTTTGGGAAATAGGGACGCCACAACCTCTGAAAATTGAGTCATTGATGTCAGTACATACAGTCCTGAACGACCACGGCGATGATCGTATTGTATGCTATTATGATATTACATTATCACCGGATTTGCCAGTACAGGGTAACCATAAACAGGTGGATGGTACGAATACAATAGTGATTCAGACCTGGCCTAAAGCTCACGGAAACAATTATTAGTAGACTGTACAAGAAATATAGAAGCAATGGTTAACTGATTTGAGGACCATCAAATGGGAGACTTTCCCATTGCAAACTTCATTACCAGCCAAGATGATTGACTTACTTTGTGCTCATGCACGTAGTTAGCTGTTGACGAACTAAATGATATTATTGTTGCTCCCGCTCTCGTAAATGTCTGTGTGAACTGAAATGAACTGTCCATGAAGGCCACCTGTCCTTTCAAGCATCAGATTTCTTCTTTCCGGTTCCTTTTTCCGCATTCGACGTAATGAACTCATGTAGCGCACAGCCAGCTGGAACCATTGGGAAAACAGGCACTTTCTTCTCTGTAATAACCTCTAGCAAGGCGGGCCCTTCCGTGTTAATGAGCCACCTCAGGGAATCGACAACATCATCAGGCTCGCTGACCCGACGGTGCTGGACGTGCATGGCTTTGGCAAACTCCATAAAGTCAGGATTTAACTGGTGGGTATGCGCGTAACGCTCTTCGTAAAAAAGTTTCTGCCATTGTGTTACCATCCCCTGTTCCTCATTGTTCAGTATGATGATTTTGACGCCAATATCGAATTGGGCCGCCGTCGATAGCTCAGTCAGAGTCATTGCGAAAGAGGCATCGCCATCGATATCAACCACCAGCGCCTCTGGGCGCGCCACCTTGGCCCCAATCGCTGCGGGCAGCCCATAACCCATGGTCCCCAATCCTCCCGAGGTGATCATGGTACGTGGGTACCGCCAGCGGAACTGCTGTGCCGTCCACATTTGATGCTGTCCAACCCCGGTGGTGACGATCGTTTCATGTTTGCGATCAGCTGTCAGTTCGCTCAATTGCTGGATCACATACTGCGGTTTGATCAGGCGGGAGGGCCCCTCTGACTGCTTGTACAAATCGAGCGGCCACCGACTTTTCCACCCTTGAATCTTTTCGAACCATTCTCGCCGATCCGCCATTGTTCTCCGTTTTACATGTGGCAAGAGCTCCGCAAGGCTGTCAGACACATCGCCGACAACGGCCTCGGTTGCCTGCACCACTTTATTGATATTTTTCGGCGTAATATCAAAGTGGATGACACCCCCACGACCTTCTGCTGCTGCCGCCTTTGCAGCAGGGGCGAACTTCTGGGTATTCAGAGTCACTCGATCATCAAAGCGCGCACCAAGGGCAAGAATGAGATCGGCTTCTTGCATGGCCATGTTGGCGTAGGCTGAACCGTGCATTCCCAACATGTGAAGCGACTTTTCATCGAGTTCATCAAATGCTCCCAGTCCCTGCAAGGTAGTGGTGACCGGGATCGATGATCGGTCAGCAAGCTGTCTAAGCAGCTCAGATCCGTTCGGGGAGCTTACTACCCCTTGACCAGCATAGATGACAGGTCTCTTCGCCATGTCGATGAGTTCCGCTATGCGATGAAAGGTTTTCGAGAGTGTTGCTTGGTTCGGTTGCGCTAAAGGCAGACTCGGCATGGCTGACATCATGGATATCTCTTTCCTGAGCACGCCAGCCGTGACGTCCTTGGGAAGATCGACAAGAACCGGGCCTGGCCTTCCGCTTGTGGCAACCTGGAAGGCTTCATTGATTCTCTGCGGCAATTCAGAGACATGTTTGACCATGACATTCCACTTGGTACATGACCGGGAGATGCCCAGCATGTCGGCTTCTTGGAAACCATCGCTTCCGATTGCCGAGGTTGAAACTTGGCCACAGAAAACAATGATGGGAGTTCCATCAGATAGAGCATTTTGCATTGGGGTCACCACATTGGTCGCTCCAGGTCCGGACGTAACCAGAACGATTCCTGGCTTGCCTGAAACTCTTGCATATCCCTCCGCCATATGTCCTGCGCCCTGCTCGTGCTTGGGGAGAATAAAACCAAAGTGCGGCGAATTGTATATGGCGTCAAATACAGGAAGAATAGTCCCTCCTGGGTACCCGAAAATGTGCTCAACGCCATGTCGTCTCATCATCTCATGGAAGATCTGGCCTCCCGTCATTCCAAGAAACCTGTAGAGAGCAAGATTAGCCATCACTGATTGACTCCATGCAGGATACACCCATACGACTTATCTCCTGCTTTGTGCGACTGTCGTGGATCGGATGACCGTGCATTGGAGCGGTTGAAGTGTGCGGCTGGGGTTGCTCGCCTGTCAATGTGAAACATTAGATGACGAATACTTTGCGGAGCATATGTTTATGGTAACTGAAAATAGCACGAGGTAAGATACATTGACTGAGTCGCGACAGAAAATGTGCTCCTGACATTCGGCTTCTTAAGAGCCTGGTTCAACAACGCGGTGATACGACCCCCCTGACGGTAAGAAGACATGTTGAAGGCTCCGGCAGTTGGGGCCATTTGCAGGGCTTGCAACATCTTGAATCTCCTAGAGACTTGTAGAGAAGCGGCCGAGGAAGAAAGAATCCAAAGATCAAAAACAACAAAGCTCGCTGAGAAGAAGAGCTGGGGTAGGGGAAGGATGTTGTATCACCAGCTCTCCATGCTGTCAGAACGTTCCGTTGTCGGACCATCATTTTGGACTCCTGTAGATTTTAGAAGAAATAAGTATGGAATGAGTCATTATAATGCTGGTAGGGACTAGTCGGCTGGACTTTGCTGACGCTGCTTGCGATATCGGCTGAGTTATGTATACATGGTGGTAAATGAGTCATGTTCATGTGTATTCGTGAGTAGGGATCTCTATGGTATTTCTGCGGCTTTTTTTGAGATTACTTATGTTTTACCTCCTGTAAGAACGTGGTACGCTCTTAAGATGTTGAATAATAGTAAATTCCATCAGCTGTAGATTGATGTAGGATGGTCAAAAGTTATATGGACTCTCGTCGTATGTTGTCTTGGGCTAGCTGTAAAAATATCTATTTCCTCCTTCGATTCATCATCCACTACCAGGAGAAGATGGGCCCTAAGCCCTCCTCTTCAAAAGGCAGCTTGGTACGTCCCACACCATGCTACTCAGCTCGTCATCTTGAAACCCTACTTATGGTACGTGTTAATGACACCAGGTGTTGGCGGGGTGTGTGTTTCTAGGCCGGATTTCTCTTGGTGGTGGCATCATGTCCGGATCTATGTTAGAGCCTTATATTAATGATATCATGAATCAACTCGGGCGGTAGTTACAGTCAACTTCACTGATGTTCTATTAATCTCTCAAGTATTACCTCCTTGGCTCTAAAAGAATTACATACGGTGCCCTTCGAGCAAAGAACAGCTGCGTCGATCCGGGACCCGTCAAGTACATTAGCGTTGGGAACGAAGACAATTACAATAGGGTTAAGAACATCTAAGGTACCGTCACCCATCGACGCATTCTTGCTAAGCGCAGTTGGCGTATTGACAATGTAGGCCGAGATTTACCCCATCGTTAGCATAAGCCTGGACTATCTTTCCTTCCCCCAACCGACGATGTGGACAAGTTAGACTGCACAGGACTCTCTCCCAATCTCCTACATTAGAATTCCCCAAGACTAAAAAGCTCCCACCTGACGCCCTGTTCACTCCACTCACTGCCCTCTGGCTCAACCACTTTGCTCCAGCCCCTGATCAATGCTCTCCAGTAGCATGTCTCGGCGGCAGGGCTCAGATATCCTTCCTCGTAGAACAGCTCACGCTGTCTATCTGCAATGCCCTCGGCCATTGTTGGATGATTCTCCAACCATGCGATGGTAGCCTCGAGGTCGGACCAGTCCGGCGAGACCATCACCAGATTGGCATTGTCGGCATTGAGATCAGTTGGCCAGGCACGCTTGATGCGATCCGACTGATGGGGAGGCCCCAAACTGGGTTCTGTTTGCAATAATGTGCTCGAAAAGACCGGTCGCACGAGATGTGTGGTATGGAGCATCCACGCCATGGGCGGCGTCAGAATGATGGAGCGGCAAGCCTGATGGAAGAGCAGCCGTCCAGAGTAGGTTACCCCCTCTGTGTAGATGATGTACTTGTACCGACAAAAGTCCTCAATGGCCAGTCCGTTACTCGCCGCCTGGCCGTTGGTTTCCCATTTCAAGGATTGTACGTCCGCCCATGGTTTGCCTGTGGTAACCTGAATTAGTCGCTTGCGCAGATCGTGGTTTTGCACATCATTAAACCAAGGTGTCCCGCGCCAGACCGCTTGTGGAATCTTGGCCTGAAAGGTCTGATTTGTTTCGATCTCGGTGATCGCAGTCAGTGCCCGGTCCATGGATCCAATATACTTGAGCGACCATGCCCAAAAAGCAAAGTGTGGCATGAGAAAGTCCCCTGCCTTGGTGGCCGTCGGATCTGCTGCACGCGCATATGACCATGATTGGGCCATCGGCCGATCCTGAATATTCAAGGCGAAAACAGTGTCTGGCAGGGGCTCCGAAGAAGTGACAATTGCGCGATAGAGTTGGTTCAGAGCTGCTGTCCGTTCCTGGGAGAGCGTTATGTCCACGTCCATACAATTGGCCACGAGGAGCAATTACATTGAGCATCTGCTGTGATAGAAACGCCTTTTTTTGCCAGTTTAAGATGTACAGCTGTACCTGCTGTCAGTGAAATGCAACTGCGTGATCTGCAAGCCTACCTGACTGTCTTTGATGCGTCCCTGCAGCGGCTCTCCTAATCGCGACCATGTGAGAGGGAAGGGTCCGCGAGAAACCGCACCCTCGATTTCATTGAATAGACCAGGAAAGGCGGCAGCACATTGGGCGTGAGACAATGATAGATTGCTGAACGAAGGCTGGCTTGCCTTCTCTCCAAGAAAGGATTGAGGTGCGGGGCTGCCAGGAGTATTTCCTCCGATTCGAAGCTGTAGACCCAGGTATATAAGGAACAAACAACTGAGGATGATGAAGATCCGCTGCAGTGGTCTCATGATTCTGCTCGCGCTATCGCGCCAACCAAGCATCTACGGATATAAATCGTCACAGCCTCATATCCTCTTATGGTCGAACTCTTGTATCAATCAGCTTGGGCCAGCTGGTTTCGAGTCGCCTAGTCCGTCTACGTCTCTGCGGAGAGACACTCCAGGGGCCGTTTCATGTAACGGAATCATCGCCGCGCTCAAAGTGGTTAGAAGCATATCTAGTTCAAGAGGACTCATTTGGAGTATTGCAACAAGTCAAAGTTATTTGGTTACATTGGTTACACATGCACAGGTCCTAGAAGACTGTCAAGCTTCCCTTGATACGAGTCTGTAAGCCTTACTATAAACACAGCAAAGAATCCGACCATCCCATGGCGAGCCCTTGATCAGACAGTAATTCGTTGACTTCGGAGATATTCATAGTCAGGCATGGCATCGCGCACCAGCGTCTCCAGCTTCGCGGCCACTTGCTCTCCAAATTCCTCCTTCCACTGCTTGGCCTCGGCTTCTACATCTACCGCGGTCGGCGTTTTGTCCTTGATGATCCCCGTGGACGCGGACAGGGTCGAGAGCATGATCGCCTCAGCCTTGTCAAAATCGGAGTTTGTCATTTTCTGGATCGGGGAATTAACGCTTACAGTTTCAGTTTCAGAGGCCACGGTTGGCGGTTTGGTCTCCCACTCAAACTGCAACGCATTTGGGTTGAGCCCGGTCTCTTCGCAGTACCGGACCATCACCTGCGGATTGTGGATGATATCCTGCGCATCTACCACCAGGGGCTTACCGGGCAGGTCAGGGTGCTCGAGGCACCAGTCGTAAAGCATTCGCGTCCATTTCAAGGTCAAGTTGGTTTCCTGAGACCCGATGGTGTCCTCCGACTGCAAAAGGCCGTTTTGCCGGAATTTTTCCATGGCGCGGCAGAGAGATGGGAACGCCAAGGCCGGATGACGAATGATGAAGGTCAATCTCCAGGTCCGCAGGTATTCGTCAGGGAGAACGGTATGATTAAGAGGGGAGAACGTGTGCGAGGGTCCGTACTTGTCAGGAATGCGCGGTCGGAAGGCGGCGGCATCTTCGGTCCTATTCCCCAACGCGGCTGGATTAGTGAGCCAGAAGGCATGCTCTTTGGCGAATGCAATCTTCCCCTCTTGCTCTGCTCGCTGGGAACAGTCCTCGAGACCATCGACCGCCTCCTGGAAGGCATCGCGAATCTCCTGCTTCTCGGCTTCATTCCGCTCTTCTATGGGTATACTTAGGCGGCCATTCCAGGCGAGCTTGAGAAAGGCGTTGAAGAAGAAATAACCTCCTTTTTCGGATGTGACCAACTTCTGACAAGGGATATTGAGGAGCTTGAGCATGAGATTCGATGCCGTGCGTGGGACACTGATAAGGAGCAAGCGGGGCTGAGCCGGCGATTCGTTGACCTCAGCCATGACGGGTAAAAGTAGCAGTATAGCAGCAGAAAAAGGATCAATGAGAGATCAAGATGATGGCTGCATCCCGCTGTCAGATGGCGTGATCGAGCTAACGGGGTATTTATACATCGGTCTCTCCTCTTCATCTTTCATTCCTCCTTGCTCAGAAGAATGTTGCTCCCCGCTTTCCCGCAGCATGGTCCATTCGTCATCGACCTTAGCCAGAGTCCCGGCTGGGCGATGCTGATTGATTGTCCGCCCACACGCAGTGGGGGTTTCCGGTTTCTTTCCGAAAGAGTACCTATTTGACAGGGCTTGCTTTCCAAGTGCGGCCGATTATTGGACTGTCAAACTGTCGATCACCCGATGAGGAGCAATAACATGACCAAAAAGAAAGCGATCCATGCATCCAATTGAAAGTCTCATGATCCCACTCGGCTTTCGGCCACTACAAAAACCGAGAAGATGTGCTAGGCAGGGATCAACGCCGGAAAACACAGTAGACACACACGAGGACCTCTCTAGTTTGACAATGATGTGGATTTAAGGAAGCTTGCAACTTCCGCTTACTAAAGATGGGAAACAACCGAGCACTTGCTTGATGCTGCATCATCATCGTCGTGCTCCCCTCCGCACATAATTCGAACATCGCGCAGCAAAACAAAGCCAGAATCCTCCATCCATTTTTCACCCTTCGACAACGTGTTAACTCCCTCGAAAAGTCGCCTTGGCCAGATTGGAGTTAAAGTTGGCATTCTTGAAAGGCACATTGGCGTCCCCAAAGTCGGTGTTCTCCAGCGCCGTCTGGGCTACTGTTGGCAGACTCTCCCAGGCGATCAAGGGCTGTGTGCCACCCACAGTCGAGGTGAGGCCACACTGGTGATCTACCGGCCAGGTGCTGTAGTAGTCGATGAGAGGCTTGGTGCCGCTGAGGGTGTATCCATCTGTCGAGCAGTCCCAGCCACCATGGGCGGACGGACACACGGCGACAATGTTGTCAGCCGAGGTGGACGTGGACGATGAGAGCCAGACAATGACTCCCTCCCAGTCATGGCGATGTCCCAGCCCAGTCGAAGGCTCGTCTTTGGGGAAATACCACGAGTACATGAGGGCGTAGTAATCGCCATACGTGGCCCCGCGCACATAGATCTGGCCGGTGCTGCTGGCGCAGTCGCCGTTGGATGCTCCTGTCGGGGCCAGGCCAGCGCTGTTGATATTAGCTCCAACGCTCCAACAGAACACTGAGCCGTGCCGTGGGAAAACCTACTTGGTGTTGCCCTCTGCATCGACTGCGGGGAAGGGAACGCAACCGTTCACCACCTTGAGGTACGGCTGATAGGCAAGATAGACCCCTCCGGTAGTACCACTGGGAACAGTTTGGGGGAATCCTACTACCGCATCACTGTCGATGCTCGCTCGTGGCAGCACGGCTCCCTGGGCGAAGCCTCCGAGAGTGGCGAGAGTTAGAAGGAAGGCCATGTTGCGCGGGTCTGAGCGATGGGTTGCACAATAGCCACGCGGCGGACAAGGACAAGGAATCCGGGTTTTATAGTCCTAAGCTTTGTCAACTCAAGCAGAACACATGGCAGAAGCATATTCATAAGCCTCTTGGCAGGTTATCAACTCTCCGCCATACCCGCGCCCGGTGGGATGGTGTTTATTTCGTAGCAGATTTGTGACCGAGAACGTGACGAATCCAGCGATGATCAGTGGCCGAGGCTTTCTCCGCGACTGGTCTATAAGAAACGCGCCGTCTACTCAACGAGACTTGTGGCATTTTCTTAGCGGAGACATGACGAATCCTTAAATATTTCCGCCAATCGCAAGAGGTCGGGATGGACTTCAGCAGGAGACTAAGGTATATTAGATATTAGGGCTCCTGCTGATCAACATGTGCAACTATGCTTCCCTCTGATTCACTCTTTGTTCAATTTGAATGCGTACGAGTGCCTTTTTGACAACAGTTGTGTATTATGATTCAATAATCATTGGGCTCAGGTTACCGCACCTATGAGCTGACGAATATATTAAACAACACACCATAGTATACAATAAATTGGACATGCGAGGTGACCCTGAAGTAGTATGGTGGATAGAGAAATAACTACCATCACAGGGCACCGCCGCTCTTCATGGCACCCGGGAAATCGTCCTTGATGGCATCCCAGAGTGGCCTACCGCCCATCTGCAGGTCTTTGAACGCCGGACACGACATGTCCAGAAGTGGCACGGCGATGATCTTGTTGATCAAGTCCAACGGGGCTGCCAGGGTCTTGTAAAGTCCAGCCAAAGCATTGGGACTGGCAAACCTGAGAACTTCAAAGACAAAGCACAACAGATTATTTCCCTCCAAGAGGGTGGTGAGATTCAGGACGCCTCCTGTCACATCGCCGAAGTTCACCCCGGTGAAGCTGTTGACCGTGCCGGTATTCCCTCCGATACTATATGACTCATGATGAGCAGAGTTGGAAGCGACGGAGTCCACAGGAGCAAGAGACTCACCTTGCAAGTTCTGGATATTTGATTGCCCAGTCCACCAAGTCAATATTGAGCTGCACCAGGCCATAATCTAACGGAGTCTTGTACCAATTCTCAGGGATCCTTTCCCATCCTTCGCGGTACGTCAGATTTCCTTCCTCTTCATAGATGCCGTAAAAGTTGCGAACAATCTCCTTGGCTATTTGCTTGTCAGTTTTGATCATTTCACCCTCTGGACATTCAAATCTTACTCAAGACACCCTCGGGGTTCTCGCGCGAATGATTGCGGAACACTCGTCCAGGGAAGATATAACCAGCATTCCGAGCAATCAGACCCGTCACTGGCCCGTAATAGAATTCCGGGTTCGTCTGAATGCTCTGCTCAAAGCGAATTTTGGCCCGTTCAGCCATCAGATCCATGCCAAAAGTCCCGTCCGTCGACATGTTGTACCATTCCATGAACTTGTCCATGTTCAGCGCGTAGTTGTTCCCAGTGACATACAGATCGTCCCGCGTGTTGGAGGAATCGGCTTCAATAAAGTTGTGCGAACCAATAAGGCCCTGGGGCTCACCTAGAATGGGTTAGTCGTGGAATATTCGTCTGCAGTGAAACTGGGAGCATACCTAGGAGACCCCCCAGATTGTTCAGCAGATTGTTGACACCGGGATCGCGCCCTCCGATGGAGAAACTGGGGACAAGAGCAAGCGGATTGCCCGTCCACACGAGTCCCATGAGAGCCAGGATGGTGGCCAGGTCCACTCCCATTCCATACACTGTAAAAGTTAACGGCCTAGGCCCAAGCAACATATGTCACTTGGAAATCCTTACCCTTGTTGATGGCGGCGATAACCTCCGCGAACTGCCTTCATGTCAGGGCCAAAGCTTCTCTCTCGGAAAGGACCACGTACCGACACAACACCGCTGCGAGGGATATAACCGTGATTCGCCAGTGCATTCAACGCAGGACAAGGACCCCGTTGGTCCCCTTCCTTCGGGGGCTGGAACGCGTGTGCGCCGGTCACTGTTGCTCTATTAGCACCATTTTTACACCCTCACAGTCCAACGGGGATAAGAGCCGAATATACCATCAATGGGCTTGGACATCGAGTCAAACAGGAATCGCCTTCCCAGCTCTGGATCTTCTCGCCCCTTCAGCGCGGCGTATGGGCAGTTCGTATGAGCAGATCCACCCATACGATCAGGAAAGCCTGAGACCAGGGAACCCAGCCCCAGAATGGCCAAGGAAACAATCGCTTTCATCCTGGAAGATAGGTCTCGCGGCCACAAGGAGTAATAGCAGCGTCAAGAGAAAAAGCTTGCCAGGAAAAGTGACAGTAAAGCACCGGCTGGGAAACTCTCGTCGAGGAATCTGGAATTGTCTCTATACAAATAGACGATTAGCAACGCAATGGTTCGAATTCAGTGGCATACCCGAGGGTATGCCCCTAGAGGTTCAGTATTTGCGACGGCGATCACTCTAGCCTTTACTAATCACCTTCCCCTGAGTCGATCGGAACATGAAGTGCTCGCACTGAGTTCCTAATTCAACTACACGGCAAGTCTGACCATCATGGTTCTAAATGATATGAAAAGAGTAGCAACTAGCAAGAACCCAAAACAGGGGGTCGTCATGTAAGCGTACAGGGCTCCATGTGCCAATCGACTAATTACATTATGAGTTAAAATAATAAGGATCCTTGGGACATAGGGTCATCGGAAAATTATAGCCACGCAAGGGCAAATTGAATAAGTTCATAGTCTAAAATGACAGGCGGGTCTCATGGCAATTTCAACACGGCAATCGGACACCGTAGCTCTAGAAGACTAGAACCCCAACAGACAAGGAACCCACCCCCCGGAAGCCTCTTCCTTGAACCCTATTTACTCTGGAGGGCCGCATTTTCCATTCTGGTCACAAGAAACAGCCTGGTTCAGCTTTAGTATCATTTGCCTTTACCTAAAGCGGCCGTAGTCCCACCAGCGGGCGTCTCAGATATCCCGCTACAGCAACCGGCCAACGTCGATCAGACCCGTTTAAAAAACTAACCCTCGTCGCTTAGGTTGCTGTCGAAGATCCGCACATAGATACCTTCCACAAAGGGGTGTCCTGAATTCCGAAGTAAGCCCGCACCGAACACGAGCGAACCCAGCGCCTAGGCTTAGCTGCATGCATTTGGGCTCCATTGTGGCTTCTAGCAAGAAGCAGACGAACCAATCATGACTTTTGGCAAGAAACGACAGCACGGAAAAGAATTTAGTATTGGCAGTCGACGGCTTGGTGGTCTCCAGAACGGCTTGCTATCGAAGCTGCGGCACAAAGTACCACACTGGCAAAGATTACGTCGTATGAAGTAGGGCTTTAAGCAGAGCTTTGGATTTAGGACATCTGCATGTCATGACCATTCTTTCGCGAAAGTGTATATGATGCGGAGATGTCTTTATCTGTAACAAGCTTGCTAGCAATAGACCTGGTATTCGCATGCCCCTCGAATTCCGATCAAGACTAACATCAAAATGCTTGAATCGGTCAGGCCTCAAATGCTGGATAGGACCTGAGTAAACTAGCTTCCCAGGTGAGCTGGAAGAAGCCCACAGTGAATACTCTGAAGTAGCACCACTCTGGAGTAGCTGCCATGCACGGTGTCGATCGTAATAGTACATAAGTCAACAAGCAGTCGAACCTGACTCGACTCCATTAGGTAATAGTTTATTGCTTGTCTTCAAGTTGGGGTCCTGATAATTCAGATATCTGAAAGGTGGAAGCCAAAAGGGGGCAAGATACAATGGCCCGTGTCGGTTCAATGCTTACCCCTTTGGTAACACGGAAAAGCTGGTCTGTGCTTCGCTTAAAGTTCATGTCGTGTAACGCCACGGTTCCACAGGACTGTGTAGGTAGAAACTGTCATATATCCACTGCTTTGCAAGGCCAAGGGTTATGCGGCGTATAGGGGGAATCCAGAACTTCCAGATCAGCAGGTGAGACGCCCAATCATCGCATCCACCAGAGCTTTTGCAAATGCTTTTAGTCAACAGGGGGTTTGGACAATCTGTTACGACTCGCTGCATGGCAAAGCCCCGGCGATATGCCGAACTAGTGTGCTACATAGGAGCAGGGTCGAAAGAAATCGCGGGGTGATCATACCTTTCCGGCTTTGTGGTTGTCGGGCTGTAACCGCTTCATGCTCGCGACACTTGCCGGTAGGAGTCACCGTGGGAATGCATTAAGGAGGTTCTCTTTATGTTTGGTGTTCTCTCTTTCATCTCGCTGTAGCTGGAAGGCTCGCATGTTGTTCGATCCACATCCAGGTGTTTATCCCAAACATACGCATTCGGCAGAATGAAGGTCCTCGGGATTCTCCTTGTCCTTCTTTCGTGGGCTGGCTATGTTACGGCCAACAACATGGAGAAGCTGGCGGCAGCTTTGCCCTCGTGCGCAGTACGTTAACAGCGGTATGTCGTCGGCTTTGGAGGGAGCATGCTGATATATCTAGGTGCAATGCATGGTGTCGACGATCCCCCATTCTCCCTGCACCCTCACAAACCAAACGTGTATGTGTACCGATCCAGTCTTTACCGGCACACTTGAGATATGTGTCCAAGCAAACTGTACCATTCGCGAATCTCTAGGTAAGACCATGTCTGTAGGCTCTGAGCGTCCGAATGACTGACTGGATCAGCTACGAAGAATGTGACTTCATCAGCTTGTGGACTGCCGATTCGAGACCGGACCCGTGTGGTCTCCATTGCCGGGGTTGCTGGAGGCGTTTTGGCACTGGTTGCTTTTTTTTTGCGCATGATCGCGAGGCTTCCATGCTGTGGTGGTCAATTTGGAATGGATGATTTAGCAATGATCGTAACGATGGTGAGAAACTTTGGCTTTGCGCAGTTGAGTCAAGCTAATTCGCTCAGTCACTGGTCATCCCTCTTTCTGCCTTGTCGGTTGTTTGTGTGTAACCCTTGATTCGCCTTTTCAACAGTACTGTGTATATACTGACTGCCATCGTAGTGGCCGATTCGGGTCTGGGAAAAGACCTCTGGACAGTGCCGCCAGACAACATCACGCATATTCTCTATGTGAGTTTCCTCAGATGGCAGTGGCACCGGGTTGATATTGACAGAATCACAAGATCTACTTCTACGACGAACTACTCTATCTCAGTATCATCCCACTGACCAAGATCTCCATCTGTCTCTTCTACCTGCGTGTGTTTCCCGCGCGTCCTTTTCGAATCACGACATATGTCGTAATCGGGCTGAATGCGGGCTACCTGATTGTTTTCGTCCTAATCTCGGTCTTCCAATGCAGGCCCATCAAGGGCGCCTGGCTGCACTGGGACGGGGAAGGCCACTACTCGTGTAACAACATCAATGCGCAAGGCTGGTCTGCAGCGGCCATCAACATGGTTCTGGATTTGATTGTTATGGCCCTGCCACTGCGCGAGCTGTATCGGCTTAACCTCTCACTGCGAAAGAAGCTTTTTGTCATGTCCATGTTCAGCTTAGGAGTCTTGTAAGTCTTCTGCTTGCATACGTTTTCTTCTCGCAGCTGATGTCGTACAGTGTCACTTTGGTCAGTATCCTCCGACTCAACTCACTCATCCATTTTGCCGCGACCAATAATCTTACCTGTAAGTCCAATCCTAGGACAGTGAATTGCACGGTATCTGTCTGACAATTGTTCTGTGCCACAGGGGACTATGTCGAGATCGGGTACTGGAGTACGATCGAGGTCCATGTGGGCATCATTTGCGCCTGTCTGCCGGCCATTCGTGCCTTAATGCGTCGTCTATGTCCGACCCTGTTTGGAGACACTACTCGCGCAGCTTCCAAGCAAAGCGGGACTCGGTCGGGGAGAGCTGCTTCCAAAGGAGAGGGAAATATTCTCAATCGTTCGAGCCTCAGTGGTTGGTCAGAAGGAAAGTTTGTGCCGTTGGTGGACTTGGAACATCCCCCAAGAGACGCCGGTCGTCCAGCGTGACCCAGACATTGTCTTGTTTACATTCATTCTTTCCCTTTGTTAAGACATATCGTTCTTATATTCCAAGGGGTTCGATTCCGCAAGACTCCATTGACGTCAGCGTCGGCTCTATTCTACCTACAAAACACCAATATCTTCATAATAATTAGCGTCGGATATTAATCAAATTAGAACGGTAGTACCCACTGGCTTCTTGTCGCTAATCTACGTTGCGCACTGCCATAGACTATACATCCCGTTGCAATGAAGCTCAAACAGTAGCAATGTCTCAGTCACCCTGAATTTCTCAACTCGCCAACGGAAAGCAGCAAAACGGCACTTAAACATGGCCTCCAGGCGAGATACGCTAGTTGCAATATGACACGACTCAGTTGGGCAAAATTCCCCATTCAGTAAGCGACACGACGGCATGTCTGCCATTAGTAGAAAGTGGGACTGCCGATTGTCTCGCGGAAAAAGCCTTGTATTACAAAGCGAGCCGTCAGTTGTCGTTTAGGTTAGGCACTGACAGCCCGCTAAGTCTAAAAACGTTCGTCAAAACGGCGCGAACTTTGTTGAGCGCCGCCTTTCTGAGTGCTCCACAACAGTACTTTCTCGACCCCACAAGGTATGGGCTCTCTTGGTGGGCAAGGGGTCGGGGAAATGAATGATCGTCCAAAGCTAGACCCTCTGCGGAGGGGATCCGACAGTACCCAATATGAATATTGTCGGTTAGGTGCGGGAAGTACCTACTTGATGCTTCGGGTAATGATCACTCTAGATACGTCTGACAGCGATGTCATGGACTGGGGAATGATTCACACACTTGGACATTGTATAACGACAATAGCAATAGGAAAATAGCAACAGGAACACGGATTGAGAAGAGTTGATCCGACGAATGACTCTCTCTCAGCTAAGGATACACTATGCGCATCCTGGCTTGTTTTGTCAACCCAATCGGGTTCTTCGCGTAAAACATCCCGTCCGGGGAGCATTACCATTGTCGGTCGACTAGGGGACACGCGGGACGTATTTTAGTCACGCAGACTGGGTCTAGTGTCCTTTGGGTCCAGGCCGGTGTAGGAGGCTTGAATATTCTCGAGCTCGAGCCAGTCCGTTCGTATTATTGCTCCTAGTCAGGTACGCCTATGTGCGCCACGCCTCGCAGCGATAACCCAAAACCTCAGTGCCATCGGTAAAACGAGAAACAGCGGGCCATCGACCGTCCGTTTGCGAATGTCGATCAATGCTCACGTTAGTTGCGTGATGGCACACGTTGCGACAGCTGCAATTCAGGAGACTCTGCTTCTGATGTTCTGCTGATATAAACTCGTCTTGAATCAGTGCTGTGCTCCTTGTTAGGGTCCCTTTGTCCGGCAGCATCGCAAGTCCCTTGAGCACAAAGTCATTTGGCCCAACATGCACATCAACAAGGGCTTCTCAATATGTACCCTCCTCTTCGGGACTTTGGTCAGGTACGCAGCCTGATTCTATACCTCCTTTGGGTCGTCCAAATTGACAAATGCTGACGCTTTCATTCTATGCTTTTAGTGGTCATGATGCAAGCCACCAAGCGTATCACGTACCCCAGGCTCGGTCAACATACAATGCTCCACGAGCGACCAATGGGACCGCAGAGTATGACTATATCGTTGTCGGCTCTGGACCTGGAGGAGGCCCTCTGGCGGCCCGGCTGGCAATTGCCGGGTTCAAGGTGCTGTTGCTCGATGCCGGAGATGATCAAGGAGATGCTTTCCAACAGCAAGTTCCCGCTCTTCAGCTGCAGTCAACCGAGTATGAGCCGATGAGATGGGACTATTTTGTGAATCACTACTCGGATCTCGAGCGTCAGAAGCAAGACTCCAAGATGACCTACCGGACTCCTGCCGGGGAGTTGTATGTCGGTCAGAATCCTCCAGCGAACTCGGAACCTCTGGGCATATTGTATCCACGTGCAGGCACACTGGGTGGTTGCTCAGCGCACAACGCCATGATGTGAGTCTCCTTCATTGCATGAGATTTCCTGGCTGTATGCTGACTCTGGTAGCACCATCTACCCGTATGAGAGCGACTGGCAAGATCTCGCCACACTTACTGGCAATGACTCCTGGGACCCTCGTAAGATGCGCGGCTACTTTACACGCCTCGAGCGCAACCGATACCTTCCCAGCAGCCTGACAGGTCATGGTTTCGACGGTTGGCTGACCACCAGTCTGACCCAATTGACCCTAGTACTGGAGGATCAGAAGCTGTTGTCCTTGGTCATTGCGGCAGCCACCGCAGTGGGAAAGTCTCTGCTGGGCATGATCATCACGACCGTCACTGGATTGGGGGAGATCCTGCTGCGTGACCTCAACAACCCGCTGCCCACCCGCGACCAGGAGACTGGGCTCTTTCAGGTGCCCATCGCGGTAGACGTACCCGAGTACAAACGCACTGGTCCTCGTGACTTTCTCATGAAGACAGTCAACAGTGTCAACAAGGACGGCTCTCGCAAATACCACCTGGACATCCAGTTGAATACACTGGTAACAAATGTTCGTTTTGATACAACCGGTGAGAGACCCAGGGCCATCGGTGTCGACTATCTCCGGGGCCAGAGCCTGTACCGCGCCGATCTCCGTGCAAGCAAAGCATCCGCAGGAACTCCTGGCAGTGTCAACGCTGCCAAGGAGGTGATCCTTTCGGCAGGCACCTTCAACACACCCCAGCTGCTCAAGCTCAGTGGCATTGGGCCCAAGGAAGAGCTGAGCAAGTGGAACATCCGCACCCTGGTGGACTTGCCTGGCGTGGGCAAGAACCTGCAGGACCGATATGAGACCGGCGTTGTGGGCAAGGCCCCCACGGACTTTGTCCTCACAAGCAAGTGCACCTTCATGTATAGCATGCCTGATCCCTGCCTGGACCAGTGGAAGAACAACGCCGTTAACAAGGGTACCTATACAACCAACGGCATTGCCATCGCTATTGTCCGTAAGACATCTACGGCCGAAGGAAAGCCCGATGTTCTCATTTCAGGAGCTCCAGTCAACTTTCCAGGCTACTATCCCAACTACTCGTACGAGGGCCTGAAGGATGCGCAACACTGGACCTGGATTACCCTGAAGGCCCAGAGCCGGAACAATGCCGGCATGGTGGAACTGCGCTCGACGGACCCTAGAGATACCCCGATCATCAACTTCAACTCCTTCGATAGCGGCGTGACGGAGAACGGCGCAGACGAGAAGGACCTTCAGGCTGTCTATGAGTCCATGGTGTTTTCCCGCAAGATCTTCAATGATCTGGTGCCTTTGGACGGCAAATTTGAAGAAGTATGGCCCGGGCCCAACGTGACCTCCGAGGCGGACCTGAAGGACTTTATCAAGCGGGAGGCATGGGGTCATCATGCCTGCTGTACCGCCGCCATTGGGGCCGACGAGGATCCAAACGCTGTCCTTGACTCGGACTTTCGAGTGCGTGGTGTGGATGGCCTGCGCGTCGTGGATGCTTCGGTGTTCCCCAAGATCCCGGGGTGGTACATCGCGCTTCCCATTTATATGATCAGCGAAAAGGCGGCCGACGTCATTATTGCTGATGCTGCGTAGATATTCTCTCACTGATGTATATACATTGCCCTGTTCTTGTCGGAGCGTTGCTGTTGAGGACTGTTGTATGTCAAACTACCTTCAGCCATAATCTTAATCAGTCGAGATGTGCACGAGCATCTTGGTAGACATTGTACTTTGGTGTGCTCTTAACTCTAGAATCTTACAATTTCGATCCCGACTTGGCTACTTTAATCAGAGCCCGACCGTTGCTCAGGACGACCTTGCCCTTGTCATTCTTGGTCACAAATCGGATCTCTTCGAACCCATCTGTGGCACCGCCGACCCTCCACATTTCCGTGGTGAGACGGTCACCTGGCCTAACCGGAGATGCGAACCGGGCCTGGAATTCGCGAAAGTTGTTGGGGTTGCTGCCACCAAACGCCTTGAGAATGGCGTGCGCAGCACTGTTCCAGCTGAAGAGACCGTGGATAATGGTGCCTCCGAAGCCCATCTGCTGTCCTGGCTCGGGTGTTGCATGCAGGGGGTTATAGTCGCCGTTCAGACTTTAGGGAGGACTGGTTAGTCAAGTTCCTATCGACCAGCGCACGCGTTGCGACGACTTACCGATACAGAAGCGGAGTTTCGGGTGTGGTTTGCACTTCATGCGTGGCATCGGGTTTACGGCCTTCTGGGGGAGGATAGTTGGGAGTACTAGGGCCTAGAAAACAAGTTAACGCCTGCAATTCTAGATGGAAAAAGGAGGCAAGCAACTGACCCTTGGGACCTCCCCAGTTACCCTGCCCGACAAAGAACCCACTGCTCACTATCTTGGTGTAGATCTCCCCCGTTGATTTGTCCACGATGGTTTGTTCTGTCTCCATCACTGAACCAGCCTTGCCCTTGTCGTAGACCCCGATGACCTTGTTGCGCAATTCAAACTGCTTTCCGGCACTAGTCGGTGGTAGGGGCTTGAGGACGGTCAATTTGCGCTGGCCATCGACCGACCGTCTGGGGTCGAATTTGGGGACACCAGGAACTGGATTGGCTTTCTGACGAGCATAGAAGTCGGTCACCTCGGAGTCTGTGAGCTTGAATGCTATGTTGCAAGACACGTCAGCCAAATTCATCATGCAGTGTTCTCCCTCTGTCGGCGGAACTTACACAGGATAATCGGATAAGTCGGAAAGACAGCAAAATTGGGATGCAGCTCCTATTCGAATTGTTAATGATGGGCCTGAGTGTCGCAACGCCCGAGGGTCTTCATACGTAGAGAAAGTGCAGTTCGTCGGCGGTTGCCCCGACGCTGTTGGCAAAGAGCAACACATCCCGCTTGAGCCAGGAGACTTCCTGGGGGGGAAATTCGTAACCAGCTCCGGGTCCGGACATTGTTGTTTCGAGGAAGAATGTAGATTTCTTTTGGTTTGCAATTGATGAAAATGCCGTGATTGATGTGAGACGGATAACGATGGCTATTTATGTATCTGGTGTTTATGCGGGGTTGCCGAGGCATTTCGGGACGCGTTGTAACCGTGTAGACCGAGCTTCGTTCGATTCTGGATTTATCAACACGTTCCATTTCGCTCCATTGGGTATGTACAGTTCTGAGCCAATATAACTTGGATAAACCTGTGAGAGGTCCTTGAAGAGTATCATATATAGTAGTCGGACTGTCTTGGACGCATCGTGGTGATGGAATCAGTGCAGATATATATTTGTGAAGCTACCTACTTATAAGACCCACAAACCAGGACGCAACCTCTCTCCAGACCAGGGATTTTGAGGAAGCCAAAAGTTCCATGGTAGATAATTATCGCTTCTCAGATAAGGTCAGGCGATCAAGAGAAACATCAGAGGATGAGGCGCCATCATCGTAGGCCGGTCATTTTAGAACTCGGATGCCTGGGGAATCGGGCCAAAAGAGACCGTCCCCGTGATAGTCGTCAGGTGACTCTAAAGAATCGCTCATCATCTCCACATGTCCATCTCTATCGAAATGTATATCAGACAATGTTTTCTCTGAGAAGAGTGCAATTACACTTCATATGACCATGACAATGCATACACACCATAAAGGTAGCTGCATTTTGCAGTCAATGTTGGGCCTCATCCATGAGAAACTTCACATTATTCCATTTATTCTCTCAAGACGTGCTTTCGGAATTGCCCATTGCCAAGTTCGATCCTCTTTAGCATCCCGATTTTTGGTGACTCGGTAACTTAAAGATAAACCTCTAGTGGTCTGAGTTCTCAAAAGGTTCCAACCATCCGAACATACGGCAGCGAGTACCGACTTTTTCGCGGCAGCTAAAATTAGTTAAAAATGCGATCGATGATGATCTCACAACAATATCCACGGTCGGAGCGAAATTTGACGCAAACAGCTTGGCTAGAACGTTGAGAGCCAGGATCTCTGGGCAGGAGGCGCCAGTCAGCCCGGGCCGTGCGAACCTGCGAACCGATAAAACTGAAAAAGCATGGCAATTACCGCGCTTCCGTCCCTGGAATCAGCACTGTCGGCGTAAGCAGTGGAGCATCTGAGGCTATGTTAGCACTCGTTGTTGGATCTTCGCCACGGTTCATACCCGATCCAGATGCTGAAAGTGACCAGAGCAGAAATCCTACAGCGGCGATCCGGAAGAGCTTCAGTCGCCCAAAAATCACCCACTGGGGAGGAAGACAGCCCGATGGCAACGAGAAACGACCACACCTTCGCCGGTGATGACGGCCTGGTCGTAAGAGGATACAATTCCACTGGAGCTCAAGATGGAGTGAAGGTAATAAGAGGCAAGTCCGTTCTCAGATCATTGGGGGAAGAGGCAACGCCGCAAACGAGAATCTCTTGCCCCAAACTGACTGTATTCTTCATCTCCTTCATGCAATGGAATGGTATTCGCAACCGTCGAAGTCAACTGACTGATCCATATTGGCATGATACTGATTTTAATGTGAGCCCAGGACGTCCAGCGATGGTATGCTCTACTCACCCTGAACAGTGTGTTTGAAGGCCTAATCTTCGGTCTTTGTCGCACAACCAGCGAGCGCCTTTGGGAAAGAGCAAGATACTGACGATTTGAATGGCTGACATGGCCACTTGCCTTCAACCACCTTCCCCATGATGCCGCTGAGGTATATTTGACCATCCCAAAAATAGTCCAAGGTGCAACGACGGACCCGAATTTGAGCTGGGATAGTCTGCGCCTGGCACTCTTCACCACACTGGAAGGATCATGATACCAGAGACACACTAGAAATCTTAGGCACGGACGCTATGATTTCAGTTGCCGTAAAGGGGCCCAACATAGATGCGGTGGGATTGCTGAAGTCTTATTTGGGTCCACATGTATAGAACGGACCCTATAAGTACGTAGTTGGCCACGCACAGACTTGGCAGGGTGTCGTGGTCTTAAGCCGCTCAGGAGCGACTCGTGATACCCATTATTGTGGTACTGTAGAGCACAAGTATTTGAAAATCTGGGGAGAAGGTATCCAGATGATCGTCTGATCGACTGATCGATCCATAGTGGATAAAGTGATCCGGCGGTCTGGGTCCACTAGAACACACCACGTTTACGGATACTCCTAGTGGTTGGATTTTGAGACTGGGCTGCACACTGACCAATAGAGACAATTCAATGGCGAAACCCCGCAAATGCCCAGATTCGATCAATATTACCGTATTTAGCCGGATTTGAAGCGAGAGAACCAGAGGGGCCTCGTCCCCTCGACCCCTCGCAGCCTTTGAAGAGGGCCAGGAGATGTGTTCCGCAAAACGCAGTGCCCTCCCATGTGATATCACCCAATGGAGAATTGCCAAACCTGGCATCACTGTGAGACACGAACTGAACCAGTCGGTGCCTTTTGCAGTGCTTTCCCGGTGGGATGTCCAGGGACTGTGACCTAGATGAGATATAAAGATGTTGTTCTCAAGCCCCAAGCTGCCCTTCAATCGACCTGGAACCTCGGAATCGCCATCAAAGCTAGTCAAGTGACCTTTAACTTCCTGTTGCTCTTCCACCATGGCTTCACAAAACGTCGAGGTCCCTCATCTCCGCTCCATCGAAGGTGGAAAGCAGCTGATCGTTAACGGTCGCCCATTTCTGATATTGGGTGCGGAGCTGCAGAACTCGTCGCTCACCTCGGCCGAGCATATGGATACAGTCTGGCCGAATCTGGTAGAGTCTCATGTCAACACTCTGCTAGGATGCGTCACTTGGGAAATGATTGAGCCCGTAGAAGGCCAATTCGACTTCAAAGAACTGGACAAGATCATACTGGGAGCACGCAAGCACGGAATTCATCTTGTATTACTGTGGTTCGGTTCCTACAAAAATGGTAGCCTTCCACCAGTCGATAGATATGCCCTGCAGTTCGATGAAAAAGCTAATGATTGCCAACAGGAATCTCAACGTACGCTCCCGCGTGGGTCAAGACGAACCCCAAACGCTTCCCCCGGATGAAGTTGCGAAAGGCAGGAGGTGTCCTACAGACTACCGAGATCCTGTCAGTATTTCACGAGGAAGCTCAGAAGTGCGACGCCAGGGCCTTTAAGCAGTTGATGCACCACCTGAAGGAATTTGACCGAGATCACTCAACCGTCATCATGGTCCAGGTCGAGAACGAAACTGGCTTACTGGGTGACTCTCGCGATGGCTCTGCCGCAGCAGAAGAGCGATTCTCCAAACCAGTTCCCGATGATCTCGTCAACTTCCTCTCCAACGAGTGGGACTCTCTTCATCGGGACCTCAAACGCAACTTGGTTCGCTTTAAAGCCCAGACCAACCGTCAAGGGTCGTGGGCGGAAGTGTTTGGCAAAGGGCCACACACCGACGAGCTCTTCATGGCCTACCACTACGCCTTATATGTCAACCAGGTCGCCGCAGCAGGCCGAGAAGAGTATCAGCTCCCGCTGTACGCAAACGCGTGGCAAAACTATGCCGGAGAAGACAGCGATAATAACTTCCCGGTTATCGTTGGTGGCGGCGGCATGCCGGGTGATTATCCCTCTGGGGGCTGCATACCAAGCGTCCTGGACATCTGGCAGCGTTTTGCGCCATCTGTGGATTTTTTCACCCCAGATATCTATCTCAATGACTATGAAAGATGCTGCTCCAAGTACTGCCATCGCGGCCAGCCCTTGTTCATTCCCGAACAACGCCGAGACGAGTATGGGGCACGCCGCAGCTGGGCCGCAATTGGCTCTTACCAGGCCCTCGGTGTCTCTCCGTTTGCTCTCGATACCTTGGAGCCAGAAGCAAATCCATACATCAAGCATTATGCCTTACTGGAATCCGTCTCTCAGATAGTGCTGGAGGCACAGCAACGCCCTGGATCATCGGTGGGATTCTTTTTCGACGAGCTGGCGGCCGACGGCTCCGATCACTCCAAACCGGTCACACGGCAATACGGAGGTTATGAGATTACCATCGAGCGCGCTTTCGTCCTGGGCAAGCCAGGTCCAGGCTGTGGCATGGTTATCCATCGTGGAGAAGGCAAATTCCTCTTGATTGGATGGGGATTCCAGGTCCGCGCAACCTCCTTGTCTCCGACCGCTGCATTTACAGGGATCCTCCGATTTGAAGAGAAGGTCGTGGTGAACAAGGAGGCCGGGGAGCTGAGAACTCGGCGCGTGCTCAATGGAGACGAAACCCGCAGCGGCCAGTTTGCCATCATGCCCAACGAAGACCCGGACTACGGTGGATTCCCTATCGCTATCACCATTCCTGCGAAGACTATGATTGCGGAACTGGAGTTTTACGTGTTGGATGAAAGCGAAGTTTGATAAGATTGTCAATGATATCCTTACTCTCAGGTAGATATAGAAATGCTATTTGAATGTTCTCATTTCTCTTCCTCAATGTCCAACGTGGCAACCTCCAATCCCCTCTCTACCCCATCAACCGTTCCAGTAGCCACTGCTTTTATCTGGCCACGAGCATGCTCTGTCCACTTGATTGGGCCTGCAGGCAACGTCCCATTGAATCGAGGGGACCAGCGTAACGTTTGACGAGTAACGGGACACAAGTTTGGCAGCATCCCGTGTGTATACTCGAATGCGCCCCCAAACTGGACGGGAATATCGTCATGATGGATGTACTTGTTGAGGGTGCCATAGACATCCGCTGAGTCTAACGGGACAATCTTCTCCGCAGTCACCGGGTCGATGAACTTCTTCAGGATATTGCAGATCTTGGCGAAGTACGACGGAGGATTGCAGAGCTGTACGCAAGTCAGTCAGAAGGCCCATGGTCCCTGTCTTTCTCACTTACGAATATCCGATCGATTGTCTCTGGATAGCAAGTGGCTAAGATCCCGCTAATTTCCTGTGAAAAATCTCGGAGATTCCAGGCCTGGCGCAGACAGAGAGACGATCCGTCGACCAGGTAGATCGCCTTGGTGACCGGCTGCGATGGCAGTGATCGATCTCGCAATGCGGAACATAGCGGAAAGACAAACCGAGTCAGATAATCGAAGTGCGCGAGAGCTCGCTGCGCCACGTCGGGTGAACTGCTCTGACCCGACAGCTCTCGTGTCTGACGCCAGTGCGCGATCGCCTTTTGGTCCAGATGGACTGTTTCAAGCATTACGATGGGCAATCCCTGGTTGCCTCGACGACCCGTCCAGTGCGGATACTATGTGGCAGGTCGTCAGTTGCGACATATGAGCAGAACTACGGATTGCCTTACCAGTTTGCGAGTATCTTCAAAATCATCAACACTGATCCGGTCATATACGCGGAGCGCGTCCTTCTCACGGCGGAATTGGGTTGCTTCTTCAAACTGGCAGAGGGCGCTCGAGAGGTCCATTCGTCTGGCCTGCAGAAAGCGCCTGTTTGGTTCGACCATAATCCTACTCTGATTTAGGAATTGAGCAGTCACTTACCGCAGAGTTGTCTCGTCGGCGACCCCATCCGGGCGATCCCCCTCTTTCACATCATCACAGCCCTGCAATAGACCCCTCTCGGCACACAGCCTGGAGAACTGAGCGAATAGTGCTGTCTCGTGCGCAGCCATTTGCCTGGTAATTTTATTTTGATCGTGTTGTCCAAGGTTGACTGCTGGAGGATATGGTCTGTCCATTAATAGGTATTAATAAGAGATGCAAGGGCGGAGTTGCCTGGATCGCTCCCTGTACAACATTGATCAGATCATCATGCCGGATCGGGAAGAGTATCTGCACATATATCACACCGCCCCTCCTCCTCCCGCCAGGCGCTTGATAATAGTATTCCAACGGTCATTTGAAGATCCAAAGTCATCCAGCATGCCATAGCTGGCATTTGACTTGGTCAAACGACAGAAACCTGTCTTTGCTCTCCACAATTCTCCGAATCAATCAATTTCTGCCAAGTTGCAGCTACACATCATGATTGACACAACCGAGGAATTCCAAGTATCAATATTCAACTGCATTCTGAATGACATCAATACGACGATGAGCTGGACCTTCAAGATGTATCTGTGCTGATACCGGATCTATGAAATCTATGACTCGGCCAAAAAAGGATGTTGTGCTCACCACGAACTGGTGGAGCCCCGTGGATCGCCGTTCGACGAATCGACGATCACTACCACGCTGGGATGAACGCATATACATACGTATAACATCATCTCGGTGTAAATATGCCGGGCGTTTGCGAAGATCGGCATCAGCTCTTAGATCCCGGTTCCAAGATAGGGTACTTGAAGTATGAACCCGCCTAGTTTGTTCCTCGGCCGCTTTCAGTCACTCAAGGAGAGTCAAACTGTATGATGAAACTTAATGTGTCCCAAAACAAGGCTTGAGAGGCGAGAAAGGCGCTTGATGTCGGTGCAAAGGCTATTTGTTCTGGGCATATGTAGCAGCAAACCCCATGGGTGATGCCAGGTATATGCTCAGAAGCGTAGTTTCCACTTGATAAACGGCCAAGATGGAGCGACAGCAAGATCCCACTTCCAGCGATCAAACATCGTATCTCGTACAGCGCTCGTCGCCAGACATTGAAGGATTCTGTAAGGAATATCCCCTGCGGCGACATAGGTTCGAAGACGAATCCAACAAAGGTGCACTGCAATGCCGCGGGGACTGGGTCGAATTTATCGGTCCTATTGAACGATGGGGCTGCTGCAACCCATGGGAAGGTAACTTTGCTGCCGTGGTACTTCCCTTTTGCAAGCCGGAAAGACTGGCGATCATCTCCTATATCTTGGAATGTACGGCTCTGCCCGAGGGACAATCATAAGTTAATACTGACGGACAGCAGATGCGTTCATGTATGATAATGTAGTAGAATCAGCAGCCAAGTCGACGGTATTGTATGCCCTTGCTGCTTGAACGCAGGAATTGACAATAGCATAGTTGAACATCAACGCAGATAACATTGGTCTGGATGAGACGGAATACCGGACGGTGCGCTCGACCCTTGGAAGCAAACAGATTCAATCCAAGATGATCATAGAGTTGCTGTCAATCGACAAGCTCTGCGCAGAGGTTGTCATTGACGTGTGGAAAACCATGATCGCCACGACTGCCAAGCTGGACAAGGCCCGCCCATTTTCGAGTTTGGAAGAGTACGTCGACTATCGGATTATTGATACCGGAGCACCGTGAGTGATATTCTCTGGTAGTGCGAAGCACTATAGAGTCCTAACACGCTCACAGATTCGTGGATGCACTGATGCGCTTCGGTATGGGTATCCGTCTTACGTCCGAAGAGGAGAATCGTCTTGCACCGATTGTAAAACCTTGCTATGCGGCTCTGGGGTTGGCAAACGACTACCTCTCCTTTGATGTTGAGTGGCAGGAGTTTCAGTCGGCGTCCTCTGGCAAGCGCACCATGACGAATCTTGTCTGGTTGTTCATGCAATGGGATCAAGTGGACGTCCAAGAGGCCAAGAGACGCGTCCGAGAAGTAACAAACCAATATGAAGATGAGTACAGGGAGCGTATGGAGGCGTTCTTGGCAAAGGACGGTAGAGGCAACGACAAACTCAAGATATACCTACACGCTCTCGGCCATCAAATCCCGGGAAATGTTGCGTGGAGTCTGCGATGTCCGCGATATCACCCTGAGCTGTGTGACGACGCAAGTGCCTTACTAGAGAGGGGCCGAAAAGAATCGAAGGGGGAAGCGAAGGATCAAGAGACAGCCCATGATATACCGGCTGACGATAGTGCTCGGCGCCCCAGCGAATCGGATGACAGTTGCTCGGCTAGCTCCTCGATTTGGTCCGTCTCGAAGAGGTCATCCATATCATCAGCTCCCTCTGATAACAGCGAACCGTGGTCTCTGGAGCAGGTCAAGCTGGGCGATGAGGTGCGTATCCTTTTCACTATATCATTTCAGCTCTTTTCCCTCAAGGCTTCTGTTGCATGTAAAAGATCGCTGACATGTACCAGCATTTACTGGCCCCTGCAGAGTACATCAGCTCTCTGCCTTCCAAAGGTGTCCGGGAAGCCTTTGTCGATGCTCTCAATGTATGGGTAATGCTTCCCGATCGCACTGTCGCGCAGCTGAAAAGCATCGCCCAGACTTTGCACAATGCTTCATTAATGTAAGTTTGGCGGGAGCGCTGAGAGTACGACGCGACTGAACTTGATGATAGGTTGGATGATATCGAGGACTCGTCACCCCTGCGCCGCGGACGACCAGCCACGCACACGGTCTTCGGTGTCGGCCAGACGACCAATTCCGCCAATTTCCTGCTGATTCAGGCCGCTGATCAAGTGCGACAATTGGGTGACTCACGATGCATGGATATTTTCATGGAAGAAATGCGGCTTCTTTTCCGCGGCCAGAGCTTCGATTTGTACTGGACGCGACAGGGGGAGTGTCCATCGGAGGAGGAGTATTTGGTGATGATACGCAACAGTAAGTAGACCACCCTCTGCCTATTTGATGGCCCTCAGGCTGACTGTGTCCATATGACAGAAACCGGAGGTCTGTTCCGATTGATCGCCCGATTGATGGCACAAAAAGACCCATTCCAGAATCACAGGTATGCCCCCTTGTCCTTTTTGTGTGACGGATTGACTTCTAACCCCGGTGTCCCATAGTCTGCATACGTCACTTGAGTCCTTGGCTGGTCAGCTTGGCGAGTACTTTCAGATTCGAGACGACTATAAGAACCTGACCGAGGAGGTACGTAAATATTTTGCCGTTGGTCTGGAACGAGAGGGACTGACCCTTGCTCTGTAGTATACTGGACAGAAAGGCTTCTGTGAAGATCTTGACGAAGGAAAATTCTCGTTTCCCTTGATCCATGCTCTGTTCTCACGGCCCAAAAACCTCCAGTTGCGAGGCATCCTGCAACAGTCTCGGATAAGTGGAGGGCTCGATATCTCCTTGAAAGAGTGTGCGCTTCATCATATCCGCGAGGCTGGTAGTATGGAGTACACGGAAAAGACGCTGTCGGTGTTGATGGATCGGATCGACGATTCTCTCCGGTCGCTGGAAAGACAGAACGGAAGACTTAATTGGATTTTGAGACTTTTGTTGCATAGATTGAAGGTCTGATAATTTGGTATCATTAGTGCAGTGACCCATCTCAAGTATCATATACAAGGAATCTCATGCAGATATATAGAAGTTATAGGTCATACCAGGACAAAAGGAATTTTATATTCGTGACATCTACTGTACAGAGACAATGCAAAGAAATATTTTCAAGTGAATGGAAGCGGACATCACCTCTCCTGTAGATCAACCGTTGTGACCGGGTAGACATGTATGCTCCTCTGTCACCGTCCACGTCCGAGTCTCGCGAATGATACCTGTCTGGCTCGACTGACTCTCATTGTCATGGTCATCTTCTGGACCATTCACATTCGATGTGACTATCGTTTTGGTTGTCGCCAGGGGAATATTATCGAGTTCATGGGTGGACTCATTGCAAGTGCGTCTTCGATCGGTCGAGAGGTAGTACCTGCTGCGGGCCGACTTATGATGGCTGGAAAGCGTGTAGCGAGTCATGCCGTCGAGTCTCATGCCAGTGGACTGGAGTTGCTTGAGGAAGGGGATAAACTGCGGCGCGCTGGCCGTCACTATGCTCAGGCACTGCACCAACTGGGAGGCAACAGTGACCGACCAGGTCTCGGAGGTGGCATCGGACGAGTTGATGGTGCTGTGTATAAAATAGACTTGGGCCATCAATGCTCCAGGGACGCTGATTCATCAGCCTGATACGCTGCTGGTTCGAACAAGAAACACTTACATGACGCGAAACAGAAAGACAGCTATGATATTGGCTTTTCTCTTCCAGGTTGTCTGTACAGTGGCGATCACCTGGACCGCCTGCGCGATGATGGCGACGTCGGTGAAGATGTTCGAGACCCCGAGGTAGATGAAGAATGCTTTCTGTACAAGCCTTAGCCTTTGCAGAGTCTATGTATGCAGTCATGGTCTCCTACTCGGTCGTAGCAACTACCATGCAGATAGTCCCATTGATGCGGATGACACTGGAATGCGGATGCAAAGACCGCCGATATTGCCCAGACCGCGATGATGATCTGCAGAGCGAGAAACACCACCCGGCTCCGAGAAGTTGGTGTCAGGTGTTGGACAAAGCAGAGAAAGGCGAGCTGGGAGAAGCCGATGGCGAGAATGTAAAAGAAGGCGGCGACGTATTGCGACTAGGACCCAGGTATATGAATTACTAGCACGGCTTGATCTAATACACCGAGACGTACCTTCATGATTCTGGCGACTTTTAAGTCATCCAGCGATATCAAATGATCTCCATAACCATTCTTAACGGCCATTGAAACGGCCACTGATTGAGCGATTGACATGAGCTACACCAGTCAGACTCTGGAACCGCATATCTCTGCGCTTTCACCCACCAGGGCAAGGAGTATGTAGTAGTCATCCAGAAAGAGACTGCCAAATTTCCACCACTTGGTCCCGAGTCTTGCCAGCGAGCCCAGGACGGAAGTCACCATCAAGAACAAAGTCAAGACGATGACCGCTGGCGCCTCACTATCTGGGGAATACCTGGTCATGATGGCGGGGTGACCAGCAGGCTGAATGGGAGATCATGAACATGAACCTAGGACATGACGGAGAGCAAATCTGTCCAAAAGACCCAGAAAAGAGACAGACTTGACCGTAAGACTGGAGTAAAGGAGTGCAGGGCGCGTATAAGACCGAGACCATGGCCAGGGAACCTCGTGCACCCCCCCCGCAGAAGGATTTCTCGGCTGCATCTGCCGAACAGGGGCCGTCAGCCATTTTCGATTGCTATCCGCGGTACAAAAGACTATTCTTCATTCGGCGCGGTGGGATTCATATCATTTTACGGACTAGGCTTCGGCTGGCATGTGGTGACTGGTGGTCCCTGTGCATATGGAAATTGTGATGGGATCCCGAACTAGGATTCATTTGTCCTGTGAAGCCCCGGATGCGTCTCATCGAACGTGTAAAGTCGCAGGTTGACATTCACTAGAGAGTAGGACTCGTGTTATTGGTTTCCTGGGAGGAGTTGCTCGTCGAAACGAGCTGCATGTTGGGAAACCTGGTGATGCACAATAAGATGAAGTGGATTCTGCATCAATTGCCTGATCCTTCAGTCCAAAATGGTCTAGCATGGCGAGAGAAGCGACGAATAAACGCAGTGATATGGACTCGGGATATCAAGTAGATGATATTAATCGACATGAGTGCACCAGTAGGGTGTGATGAAGAAGACTACGCCACTGAATTGCTGCAGTTGTCCAGACCCGCAATGCACTATGCGCAATCAATTCTGATCTAGTCTGTCTATACCCTAGACAGGGTTACACCAGCAGAAATAAGGCCAAGACCTGTGCCGTGTTGTTTCTGAGACAGGCGCTGATCCTGGCGTCCCGCTAAAACGGCGCCGGGCCTGATCGGATCAACAGGCTTCTCTTCCGGTCCACGTCTAATGATCTAGTCATGTTTTAAGGAGGTCATATTCGATGGTCGTCTCCATTCTCCGTAGATAAACATAAAATAGACGGTGGATTCGTGGAATCGTAATTAAGCTGTCGAGGATCAGTGGGGAGTGGGATATTCCACCACACAAACACCCTTGATCGCCCTGGACCAGCACATCGCCCTCCGCAGGATTATTGTTGTGTAGATAGTTGTGCAATCTACACTCTTGGCCCCGAGTAGTAACGGACTTTGGACCTTCTTGTCTCGGAATTGTTCGACTACCAAGAAACAGGGATATATATGCAGACTCCTGTCTATCCATGTCTTGAGGCCATCACTAAAGACGCCCCTTGCAAGGATACGATGCCACTTCAGCAGTCAGCATTGGCAGTGATATTGTCCGCGGGACATAGCCAGGTTGTGTTTAATATATTACGATAAGTCTAACTCCGATCGGGACGTTTCTCCGATTCCTTCTTATGTCCGCAGACTGTATCTATCATCACCATCCCTGCGGTGCCAAGCTGTGGCGTATCGAAACATCTGCAGGGAAGTGACAAATGAATGCAACGATACGCAGACACGTTGCGCATCATTAATTCTCTCAGTCACAAGTCAGAAGTCCCAGGAGGGGAGGTCGCTCAGGGGTTACACTTGTACAGGAGAGACTAGTCTACATAGAGCTCACTTCCCACGAGGCTTCTGAAGCAGATCGGCTGGTACCGACCAAGCGCATTCCATTCCATCCTCAGTAATTGTCTCATATGTAGCATTGTTTCATTCTTGGTTTCGGTTTTGGAACTGACAAGCCGCTAATTTCTAACCGAGTCGTATGGTGGATGCGGTGCCTTGGACTGGATTTGAACCGGCAATGCATTAGTGAATAACATCCATGCAATTCAATAACTCACTACTCTACGACCTGCTCCAAACAGTGTAATCACATTCCCCAGTTCATCTACCAGGACTAGCCGAAGTGGCCAAGTCAAGGTCCCTGAACGACCAGACCGGACTCTGATTTTTCAGTCCCCCACCGTCTCCTTCCTTTATATTGTACCTCGTCTGGGGAGTCTAGTTTGCTTCCTCAGATACAATCTTCTTTATAATCCCCTCCTGATAGTCAATCAATCTCCTGTGCAATGTTGACGCACGAGATGAAGACCCTGGAGCCGTCGAGTCCTCAAGAGCTCGGCGGCTCACTGTCGAGCAAAGACATTGATGAAATCCACCTGGCTCGTCTGGGAAAAAGACCCGTTTTGAAGGCGAGTTGATCTGATTCTCGATCGGTCACACAAAATTTGTGACTCGTCACTGACGCGCAACCGTTGCAGCGCAATTTTGGGATGCTTTCCATGCTTGGCTTCAGCTGTACGATTCTAGTGACCTGGGAAGGATTTACAGTGTATGCATCCATCTGATAAGAAATCCCGAGGGATCTTGCTAATACACGCTCAACAGACTGTTCCTCCAGCCACTAACCAAGTACGCTCCCCTGTCGATCTAATCGTCTTCAACGCTGACAATGAACGACAGTGGTGGTCCAGCTGGAGCTGTTTATGGTTTCCTCTTTGTTTGGGCAGGCACTGCCTGCATCTTTGTCGTCCTCTCTGAATTGGCGTCCATGTATGTTTGTTCAGAAGATGTATCTCATATCGAACGCGGTTGCTGACAACCACTTAGGGCTCCGACATCCGGTGGACAATACCATTGGATCTCCATGTTGGCCCCGCGATCGACCGTGAAATTCCTCAGTTACATGTCTGGATGGCTCACCGTCATTGGATGGCAGGCCACCTTTGCCACAGCGTGCTACCTCTGCGGTACTATGGTCCAAGGTGTCGCGGTCCTCACGCGTCCCAACTACCACCCCCAATCATGGCATCCTACCTTGTACTTTTGGGCCATCGTCGCCTTCGCCGTCAGTATAAACGTGGTCGGTCGCAATGTCCTTCCCAAGTTTGAGGGCCTTATTCTTGTGGTCCACATTCTCGGCTTCTTCGCCATCCTCATCCCGCTCGTCTCGTTGGCCGACATTAGCTCCGCCAAGGACGTCTTCACCGAATTTATCAATCAAGGTGGCTGGCCGACCCAGGGGCTATCGTTCTTTGTTGGCTTGATCGGCTCTGTGTTTGCTTTTGTGGGAGGTGATGCTGCAGTGCACGTAAGTTTACCACTCATCTCTCATGAATCGCCAGCTCCTCATATCTGTAGATGTCGGAGGAAATCCAGAATGCTCCCGTGGTGGTACCTCGCTCGATCCTCCTCAGCGTGCTGATCAACGGTCTGTTGGGATTTGGCATGCTCCTCGCCCTTCTCTTCTGCTTGGGAGACATCAATGAAGCCCTCGAGTCTCCCACGGGATACCCTTTCATGCACATCTTCTACAAGGGAACCGGCTCCCTCGGAGGTGCGGCCGCCATGGTCTCCATCGTCATTGTCGTCTGTATCTGTTCGGCCACCGGCATGATGGCTGCGACTTCTCGCCAGTTTTGGTCATTCTCGCGCGATCGTGGTGTTCCCGGTTGGAGACTATGGAGTCGGGTGCGTTATCCTTTCTTGATAGAGCCGTCGCTCGCGCTAATATGCTCGTCTAGGTCTCTCCGACTACCGCTATTCCCGTATGGTCTGTCGCAGTCACCACCGTTGTATCGGTCCTGTTGGCGTTGATTCCCATTGGATCAACTGTCGCCTTCAATGACCTCTGTGCCATGTCCATTACCGGCTTGTTCCTCTCCTACATCATGGTCGCCGTCCTTCTCCTCTGGAGACGTATGACTGGTGCCATCTCGCTGACTGCTGGCGCTGACGAGACCGTGAACACAATTGGAGCCAGACTAGTCTGGGGTCCCTTCCGCGTTCCTGGTATCTGGGGAATCATAATCAATGTCTTTGCTATTATCTACTGTCTCATTGCTATCTTCTTCAGCATGTGGCCCACCTTCAGCGAAGTGACAGTGCAGACGATGAACTTCAGCTCGGTGGGTACCGCCAGTGTGATTCTCCTGAGCGTCGTCTACTATGTCCTCCGAGCGCGTCATGTTTATGAAGGGCCAATTGTTGAGACTGTCCCTCGGTAGACAGATTTGGGATGGGGCTATCAAAAGCAATGCATTCGTTCCGCCGTGATTCTGTACAGATTTGAAAAGCTATGTAACTTAAAAGAGGCGCGTCAATAATATATACTTGACCCATTTCAATTCGCTTCCCTCCTAGACCTGGTCCGTCTCATCGAGCCGTGCCAATGGCGTCTCTCCCTCGACATATTTGCCTAAAACAGGGCGCCACATCACTCTCTCATCGATGGGCAGGAAAGTCTCCTCGCAGCGTGTCCATTCTTTCTGCTCCTCATCGGACAATCTGCGCGTCGGAATCGGCTTCACGCTATTAGAGACAACCTCTCGAAAGCCATACTTCTGGTAAACGGGCGCTCCAAACTCCGAGGCGTCTAGCCACGCTTCCAAGCCCAGCGCGTCGGCCTTTTCCACGCCCCATCTCATGAAGAGATGACTGAGGCCCTTGCCGCGATACTCGGGGAGAGCAAACGCAATGTGTAGAACTAGAGGTGTATCATTAGAGTCTCCCATATACCCGGATTAACTGGCAAACTTACAAGCATGGGGTCGTCGGGCCATGCTCTCCCGCGGATGCTCAAACTGCTTGACTGCCTGTGTCGCCCACTCCCTTGTCACTCCCTCGGGAAACCAGTCTGCCACGGTCGGGCCCTCCTGTTTGGCGAAAGGGTTCTCGGGGTAAAAGTACCATTTGGCCGCGGCGGCGATCTTGTTGGCTTCCGTATCCACGACTTTGATCCAGGTTACATGCGGCTGCTCTTTCTTGTACTCTTCCAGTTGAGCCTGGACGCACGCCTTGAGACTGCCCTCGCGATCATTGTTGTGGATGGGGAAGAATAAGCGGACGATGCCCTGGTAGGGATTCTCAAAGGCTTCCCAGAGCGCCCGGTACAGCCCGGGGAAGTCATCCTCACTGACGACCTCTACGCGAAATTTGGGCTGCATGGCGTGTTGCTATTATGAATATCCAAGTAAGAAGTTTAACGGGTAAGAGACGTGAAGCCACACGATTGGCTTATGTATGGCTTCACGTTACATCAAAGAGTGAATTAATGCCCATCACGCCATACCGGAATAGTCCATCGAGTGATATATTATGCTATTAATTCTGTCCTACTCTGAGCCGAGTCATGTTCACATGTGGCATACGTGGTCTTTTGCATATGCCCCTGTCTAGTCAGAACGCCACAAGGACATGGGTATATGCAAAGCAGCAGATGATTGGTTCGAGTAATGCGCATGTCTCAAGGAGGAAATGAATCATATAAACATCCCGCAGTCAGACATAGAATCCGTTAAGCGATTCCGTTAGGCTAATAAGCTGTGGGGGCACCGGCAATGGAATGGCTGCTGCTGCTTCGAGCGTTGACCTCTTAAAACAGCATCTATTTTTGTAGGACTCAGCTGTTCGAAATTAACTATTTTATCATTTTAAAGTTGAGGTTCTCCCATTGTGATCGACTCACAAAGTCTGCTCCGTTTAGGAATCGTGCTTGTATGCATCTTCATCTGACATGCAGTGGGAACAGATGAACAGTCACAGCTGACGCAATGCTTGCTCGACTCTTACCAAGCCATCCTGGCCAAAATACCCTGTGGCCATCTCCTCACGGCGGCTTTGCGCAGTTCGTCCAAACCAAGGATTCCCAGACCAAAAGCGGCCGGCAGGAAGTAGTGCTCGGCCGGGACACTAGTCGTGTCCAGCACCCGTTGTAAGGGCGGAATGTACAGCCAGAGTACAGCAATCCCCAGGGCGAAAAGGATCGCCGGGAATAAGAGCAGGTTCTGCGTTTTCTTATTGAAGGCGGGCGGGTGCGAGAAGATCGACAATCGGCGGGTTCGGATGGCCATCAAATTGAACCATTGCCTGTGAGCGTTAACCTTTCTGGTCTCGTAAACGCACTATGGGGTGCAGCATACATTACAACCAAGTTGATGAAATATACTGAACTCGCCTCGTTCAGTCGGGCAGTGTACCAGTCAGGATCGACGTTGGCTGGCACGGCGCCGAACTTGAACCACAGGGCCGAAAATGGAATGCCATTGCGCTGCAGGTACCAGTAGGCCATGGCAAACGACGCTAGAGTCTCCAGCATGCCGATGACTCCGTATGCCTGAAGGATGAGCTTCCAATTCACCAGTCGTTCCTTCTTGGGTCTGCGGGGCGGTCGAAGCAGGACGTCCGCTTCGGGAGCCTCGTACGCCAGAACAGTGGCCGCCGCGCAGTCGGTGAAGCAGCTGTATCGGTTAGTCAACGGCCATGACGGGAGCAACGTGTTAGAAATACCAGATGATGATCATCAGAAACGAGGACAAAACCTGCGGAAGACCAAAGACCACACTGGTCATGACCGGCCAGAACTCGGACCAGGAGCCAGCAGGAAGCAAGTAGATGATTGTCTTCTTCAAGTTATCGAAAACAACTCTTCCATACTGCACTGCTTCGACAATAGCCGAGAAGGAATCCAGGAGAACCATGTCAGACGCCTCAATGGCAATATCTGACCCGCTTCCCAGCGCGATGCCGATGTCAGCTGCCTTGAGGGACGGGGCATCGTTCACGCCGTCACCTGTCATTCCTACAATCTCCTCTCGCGCTTGGAACTCGCGAACAATCCGCAGTTTCTGCTCCGGCGTGGTTCTCCAGAAGACAATTTCCTTGTACTGGCAGAGCTGGTCCCACTGATGTTCGTTCAGAGCCATCAATTCACTCCCACTGAGGGTGATTGCAGGCGATCGGGCCTTCTCGTTGAATTTGTCATCGACTGAAGGATATCTCTTCAGGGCCGTTGCATCGTCTACAGGCACTCCTGCGGTGACGATACCGCACTGGCGCGCGATCTCGAGAGCTGTCAGGCCGAAGTCACCCGTCACCTTGCCACTACACTTAGCCAATCGCCAGATTTATAGAATGAATGGGTTGGAACAACTCCTACCATGAAGATCCTGATTCCTGCCCGCCTCAGTGTTCTTATCACGTCCGGAATCTCGTCTCGAGGCGGATCGACAATACCGACCAGGCCCACTAAGACAAGACCGGTTTTGATCTGGTTCATCACTTCGGATTCGAACAAGTGGGAGAAGGGTGAACTCTGTACTTGGCCCGCTGAGAAGGTTTTCCTAGCCAGCAGGATCACGCGTTTGCCTTCGTTGGACCATTGGTCTTTAATCTGCTTCAATCGGTTGAGTGTACTGGCATTGAGTGCCTGCACACTGCCATCAACACTCACGACATGCGTGCAGCGGTCAATGAGGATGTCGGGAGCGCCCTTGATGGTAAGCAATCTACAATTGTACAAGTGGTTAGAATGGTGCACAATGTAAAGTCGAGGGAGATTGATGACTCACGTATCATCATGCCCGAATTGGGTCGACTCAGCGGGCGACATGGCGTGGCCGAGTCCTGCCCTGTCCACTAGACTGAATGTGCGCACCATGAACTTGTTCTTGCTGTTGAAGGCAAGATCGTATGTCTTCTTCCACATGCTACGCAGCTCGGAGACGGGGCTCAATCCTTCGGAGAATCGTAAAATCGCCTGATCAGTGGCATCACCGATGATCTTTCTCTCGTGGACGGGCAGATTCATGGTGGCCGCATCAAACTCGGCAGCGTTGCAGAGGCCAGCAACTGCACGAAGTTGGTGAATCGCCGATGCCTTTCCTTTTAGGACCATTTCATCTCTTGCTCCGTCCGAGGTGAACGTGGAGATAGAAACCGCACAGTCGGTGACGAACATTCTATTCTACAGTACGTCAGCGAAGATCTCGAGATAGGATCGGAATCTTCTGAGCTAGAATGCGTAATTACCTTGGTCAAAGTACCGGTCTTGTCGGAACAAATGACTGATACCGAGCCAAGGGTCTCAACCGTCTTGAGGGACTTGCAGAGAATCTTGTTCTTGCTCATCAGATTGGCAGTAATGGTCAAGTTGGCAGTCAGAGCAATCGGCAAGCCTTCAGGGATAAACGCGATGGCAACGCTGACGCAGTCCACTATTAGCGTTGGAACGTTGATCCAGTCCGGGTGATCTCTTCGCAGCCAGGTAGCCCTATTGACAAGTCAACGATCGATGCCTCTTGCCGTGATGGTCAATTTATCATTACCAGACAATAATAATCACGATAATCATGGTCAGCATAATCAACACTATGAGAGCGACGAATCGTAAGACTTCCTTTTCCAAGGTGGTCAAGCCCGTCTTCGGCTCACTGGTGAGCTTCGCGATTCGACCAAACACTGTTGCGTCTCCGGTTGACACGACAATGCCTGCCACACTTCCCGAGACGCAATGCGTTCCTTGTAGACCGACATTATGAGTCTCGAGGTAGTTCTCATCTGTCGAGTCCACCGTCCCGTTGATGGGAAGCGATTCGCCTGCCGTTCGTAAGCAACACACCCGAGGCACGCCTGACCAGACGACACATACCGGTAAGTATCGATCGGTCGAAGCATGCATCATTCGAAACCTCGACAAAACGGATATCTGCTGGGAGTTTATTGCCCGCCTTGAGATGCACAACATCACCCGGCACAATATCCGGAGCTGACACGACTACGAGTGAACCACCCCGCATGACCAGGCAGCTTTCAGGCAGCATGGCCGTGATGGATGCCATGACTCTGGACGATGACCAGTCTTGCCATGCGTTGAAGGCTGCCTGGATGAAAAAGACGGCAAGGAGAACAATCGCTAGGGCGAGGTTTGCCAGAGCAGGTGGTTGACCGAGGGGTTTCCAGGAAATAAACACGAGAATACATCCGATCAGGAGGATGGCACCAAATCCCTTGAAGAAGTAGCCGAATATCTGCCAGAACCATTGATGCGGCAAAGGTGACAGCGCATTTTTGCCGTATTGATGGAGCTGTTCCTGGACCTGACTCGGGGAGAGACCTTGCGAGATGTCCACTTGCCATCGTTTTTGGAGCTCTTCGACGGAGATTGTATGCCAGTCGAGGTGAGAAAGATCTATGATTGATTCCCATCAGTATGGTGCGCCTCCTGCAGTGGCAAGCAGTTTTGAGTGTTTCCATACCTGCAGCGACACCACTTTGTTCTTTTGCTTTTTCACGCTCTTCCCGTTCTTTGGCTTCGTCAATATCAAATGAGCTGTTTGATCCGCATTAGACAGTTTCACCCCTCAGGTATCGCAGCAGGAGAGGTTGTAGGTACATTGTTCGATAGTGGATTGGCAACGACACGGAAGGGTCGACAATGGTTCTCCTATGACGACTGTGGACAGAGACATGCGAGCTCGAGGCAGCCGAAGCAGTGCGGATCAGTTCAGGACGACTGCTCCTTGTCTGATTGCCCGACTCTTCGTCTTCACCCTGCCATCGCAGACGCGTAACTTCCTCATCGGCAGACTTGTGCTCAGTCGGGTCCATTTGTTGCCCAAAGCGATCTTCTCCGAACAAGTTGCGGCAAGAGAGGGACACCAAGGATCAGTGATATTGGTCCTCCAGAGTCGGATGAGGATTCTCTCTTTATAGCTCTCAGGTTGGATCCATAGACCATGTGGTAATATGTGCATCTGTCCACGAGGAGTATAGCAACGAAACATCTTCGTGGCATAGAAAGCTGCGCGATTAATGATGGCCATAGCTGTTTAGCCGACAGCTGCGTCGGTGGTGGCTGAGATATCAGTTCGAGCTTCTTGAGACGTTCAATAAATCCCTCTCCATGCATGTAAGAAAATTTCCAGCCAATCTTTAAGCTGCGACGTGACCTTATCTGCAACCTTGTTTTCTTCCTGGTGGGATGATGCGAGGTTATTGATCGACTCGTCCATGCTTGAGGCTTTAACCGCCAATCATATTCCTTAACTTCCGTCGGCACCACAGTCAGGTAGACTTTTTTATCTATGCGCGATATAGTTTGCACTTCTCGACGGTATATGTTGTGTGATTCTATTACTCATCTCTCTGCTGCAACTTATCCTCTAGACGACGGGCTCAGATTCTTCCCTGTTGTGATTTGAGATGATTCCAGACAGCATATTGTTCAATGCTCGATGCTCCTACTTGCCCGTCACCATTCATCTAGTGTCTACCCTTCTTTGTTGTTAAAATAAAAATTATGTAGGGACTTTGTAATGGCATCACTATCATCACTACCTTCCGATCTCTCCCTTTTATAATGGTTGATGCTCTTGGCTGCAACTGGATGGAGCATGCTGGTGAAACATACCATCTGTCGATATATATATATCTGTATCACAATCTGTGGCTAGAACATAGCACACTACCGCATGATAGAATCCATATATGAGAAAGATGGCCCAGTAAGACTTGACGGCCACATATCTTACAATTCGAAGCAAATGAATTGGATGAATGGCTCTTCGGTGCAAGGCCTCATCTCTCTTACGGCTTCGAGGTTGCCGACTATGAGACACGTGACCACGCACAATCAGCCACTTTCATTGTTTTCTTCTTCTTCGTGTTTTCTCTCGATCTCCTCCAACATATAGATACAACATCTGGAGTCATGCATCGGAATATCTGTCTTCAATCTCATAGGACATTTTCTGATGTCTTTTCAATCTGATTCCAAACGAATTGTGTGAACTAATTCTGGATGAGATTGTTCATTTGCTGGTCTGTATTTGCCAGTGTCCCACTCTTAGTGGAGTGACCGCACCACAGCCGAGAACAAGCCACAAATCATCGTTGTCAATGTCCCAAATTTCCCTTCCACCACCACGCGTCATCCAGAACTCGACCAGCAGCAACCGTGGCGTGGGCCGCAAAGCGTCCTATCAAACACTTTTAAACCTTGCGAAATTGTGACCATAATGGCACGGACCAAGCCTTACAACGGGTGTCGTCAGCCACTGGCGGCGACAATCGATAGAAAATCCCTGGTCGGTTCTTGGCTGACGATTGTTCCCCAGGCTAGTGGATGATCGCCAGTCTCGGGAGCAGCTCCAACTTCAAGATCTAGAAATGGTTGTGATCAGGAGTGCCAGGGGCAGGCATAGGCATACGAACCTGGTCCCGGGAGTGGGAAGGACCCTAAGCGTTGATGTCGACAAGCAGCGAAGTCATCTCGGAAACAACAGCGACGTGTGAGAAGTTGCCGGATGTCCTTGCTCCACTGGACCCAGAACCAAGGATCAGAATGTGCCAACTCTGTCATCATCCAAGCAGGCTGCGCTGTTCTCACTAATCAAACTCCTAATAATAACTGTCATCAATCAAGATTGGACAATGACAGAGGTGGGACGGTTGAACAGGCCCATCATAATGAAAATATTTGCCCTGCCATGTTGCCTGGACAAAGGCTGTGTCTCTTATCGACAAACCCTCCAGTCAGACCTCTTTTGAGGTCGTATCTAACAATAGAACCATCTGTCTCTGATCCGTGGTAAGATCGGTTCCACGAGCCGCATATAATTGCGACACTTGAGATTCTTAGTCAGGTACAATTCTTCAGTCTTGCAAATATTCATCTTCGCCGACCGATTATACCGACGTCCAACCTGTCAAATTCAAGCGCCCACTGCCATAATGGGCACTCCAAGGCCCTATTCGGCGCATTCACCGCAGGAAAGCCGAAGCAGCTTCTACTCGCAGCCCTCTCAGTCTCCCACCGTGAGTGTTTGACCAGAGCCATATGGTGAAGGACGGCGAAAAAGTTGACCTTGCTGTGAGCAGCCTACCTACGGTCGCGATGACGCGGAAGATCAACAACAGACCCTCCTTCGACGCAGTTTAGCCAGCCCTAATGACTGGTCGTACGATGATCCCAACGTATCGACCGACTCCTTGCGGCGATACACATTGCATGATCCCGGGATAACCGCATTTGCTCCCCCGTACCCGGAGTCTGAAGCCGCCGACGTACACAGCGCACGGATGTCGGAATACAGTGGAATCGAGATGGATGCCTGGCAAAGACGACAAGGGGTGAAACCGAGTGCGCTACGGCGATATGGGACAAGGAAGATCAACCTCGTCCAGGGTTCGGTGCTCAGCGTTGACTACCCGGTTCCGAGTGCGATTCAGAACGCGATCCAGGCGGAGTATCGGGATGCGGAGGAAGCGTTTCATGAAGAATTCACACATATGCGGTGTAAGTACTTGTGCCGAAATGCGATCGCACACAGTCGACTAAGGAGGTCTAGATACGGCCGCCACCTGCGACCCGGATGAGTTCACCCTGCGCAACGGCTACAATCTTCGTCCTGCCATGTATAACCGTCATACGGAATTGCTCATCGCGATCACTTATTATAACGAGGATAAAGTTCTGACCGCCCGAACTCTGCATGGTGTGATGCAGAACGTCCGAGACATTGTGAACCTGAAGAAGTCAGAATTTTGGAATAAGGGAGGACCGGCATGGCAAAAGATTGTGGTGTGTCTCGTGTTCGATGGGATTGAGCCTTGCGATAAGAATACTCTGGATGTCCTCGCCACGATTGGTGTGTATCAGGATGGGGTGATGAAAAAGGATGTGGACGGGCGCGAGACAGTCGCACATATTGTGAGTCATGCAAGGCAGCGCGTGTCGTCTAAGAAACACCACTGACCATCGCTCAGTTCGAATATACGACACAATTATCTGTCACCGCGACGCAGCAGCTGGTCAGACCACAGCCCAATGATCCTCGCAATCTACCCCCGGTCCAAATGATCTTCTGCCTCAAGCAGAAGAACAGCAAGAAAATCAACTCCCACCGATGGCTGCTTAACGCCTTTAGTCGGATCTTGAATCCGGAAATATGCATCCTGCTCGATGCCGGCACGAAGCCCGGCAGCAAATCCTTGCTTGCCCTATGGGAAGCATTCTATAATGACAAGACACTTGGAGGAGCGTGTGGCGAAATCCATGCGATGTTGGGCAAGGGATGGCGCAATGTGTTGAACCCTCTCGTTGCAGCACAGAACTTCGAGTACAAAATTTCCAATATCCTGGACAAACCATTGGAAAGCGCCTTTGGCTACGTCAGTGTGCTACCAGGTGCCTTCTCGGCATATCGCTACCGTGCGATCATGGGCCGACCGTTGGAGCAATACTTCCATGGTGATCATACTTTGTCCAAGCGGCTGGGGAAGAAAGGTATTGAGGGAATGAATATCTTCAAAAAGAATATGTTTCTTGCCGAAGATCGCATCCTATGCTTTGAACTCGTGGCTAAAGCTGGATTCAAATGGCATCTCACTTACGTCAAAGCATCCAAAGGAGAGACGGATGTCCCCGAGGCGGCGCCGGAATTCATCAGTCAGCGGCGACGATGGCTCAACGGCTCCTTTGCTGCGAGTCTGTATGCCATCATGCACTTTGGGCGCATCTACAAGAGCGGTCATAGCTTGGTTCGAATGTTCTTCTTGCATATTCAGATGATCTACAACTGCTGCCAGCTCATCATGACCTGGTTCTCGCTGGCGTCCTACTGGCTGACCAGCTCGGTCATCATGGACCTCGTGGGGACACCCAGCTCGCATAACAAGTACAAGGCGTGGCCATTCGGCAACGACGCCTCTCCCATTGTCAACTTTTTCGTCAAATACGGTTACCTTTTGGTGCTGATGCTCCAGTTTGTGCTGGCTCTGGGAAACCGACCCAAAGGGTAAGTTCCCGGGAACCCCTGTACGGAGAAGAAACTGCTAACACAGACAGAACCAAATTCGCCTACACCATGTCTTTCCTCTGGTTTTCTCTGGTGCAGTTCTACGTGCTGATCCTGTCCTTCTACCTGGTCGCCAATGCCTTCATGGGTGGCATGATGGACTTTAATTTCGACCAAGGCGTGGGCCACTTCCTCTCCTCCTTCTTCAGCTCCAGTGGTGGAGGAATCGTCCTGATCGCTTTGGTGTCCACTTACGGCATCTACATCGTCGCCAGCATTCTTTACATGGACCCTTGGCACATCCTGACCAGTTCCTGGGCGTACTTCCTGGGCATGACCACGTCGATCAATATTCTCATGGTGTATGCGTTCTGCAACTGGCACGATGTCTCCTGGGGTACGAAGGGTTCCGATAAGGCGGACGCTTTGCCCTCGGCGCAGACCAAGAAGGCCGACGGCAGCAAGAGCAACTTCATCGAGGAGGTCGATAAACCGCAGGCGGATATCGACAGCCAGTTCGAGGCAACTGTCAAGCGGGCGCTGGCGCCGTATCAGGAACCAAAAGAAGACTCGACGATCAGCATGGATGATTCATACCGCAACTTCCGGACCAATCTGGTGCTGCTCTGGATCTTGAGTAATTTGCTGGTCTCGCTGCTCATTACGAGCGACGGCATCAGGAAGATGTGTCTGACGGTAAGCCTTGCGTCACTTGGACGCGCATGAGATAGTTGCTGACCTTGAGACAGAACACATCCACGACGCGAACGCAGTATTATTTCCAAGTGATTCTGTGGGCGACAGCTGGACTGTCTATCTTTCGATTTATTGGGTCTGTCTACTTCCTGGGCAAGTCGGGAATTTTGTGTTGCGTAGCACGCCGATGATGCAGAGGTTATAGCATTGCGATAGAGAACGAATGTTGAAGAGTCATGAATTGCATGTCTATCCCTTACTACCATAATAGACTCCTGAGCATACATCACTGTAAGACATATAACTGGACATTCAATTGGTTTTATCTTTGCTGTCGGACCGGATCAGAAGGCCCCCGATAATGGCAAGGACAGGAGCATATCCCCAGTGATTCCATTGTCCATGGCCATTGCTCCAACACACGGCCCCGTCGGCAATGGCGATTGTACTCGTTGCGATCAACGTCCAACCCAGGGACTTGCGCGTGCCGAAAAAGCCCGCAGCGTAGAGGGCGAGCCCCATGAAAATATCCCGCGCGCCATATACAATCATCAGGCTGTCGACGAGGCTTCGGTCGCGGGGAGCGACGGGTGGTTCAAACTCGAAGAAGGTCAAGGCATGAGCGGGACGCAGGATGGCGTTGATACCGAAGCCGATGGGGACGATTCCCAGGACGGTGGTGAGGAGCGATAGAGACGGTGATTGAGACATGGTTGAGAATGACAAAGAGATAGAACAGGAATGAGATTTCTTGATAGTCCAGATGAGACAGTTTGGGGAGGCTGAAAATGGTCTATTTATTTGTTTATTCGTGTTGACAAGGCTGACATTGTCTTGGCTCCAGGCAGACATGACATAAGTAAGCAGTCTTTAGTATTATTATTGTCTCGGTCAGTTAACATCCATCCTTACCTATATAGACAAATGAGTATAGGTTCATCTCTGTATAGTTGCTGAGTGCGTTACTCAACGGCAAGTGAGTCCATAACCAAGAGCAACAGAAATATTTAAGGTCTTTTCTAGCGAGAACCCCGTCGGCAAAAATATCGGATCTTGGGTGTGGATAGCCTCATATCACGCTATTGTCGAGGCTAAGATAAACCAAGCCGAAAAATACAAACAAACCGCTGAGATTTTGCTGCAAAATAGGCTATTGATTTTTAACTTGCGCTATTTCGCTGAAAGAATCCAGGTTATGTTTCAATCTCCTGACCAAAAGGCTTAGTGTAGCCCATGCTCTTGGACACCTTGATTCTGGTCATTCTAGACGAGATAATCAATCACGATTGCATAAGAAATCCCTCTCAAGATATGGCCGACGATGGGGCGTCGCCATACATTTCCCTCCCAGACAGAATCGGCGAAATGGGTCCAGATATAGCACGAAAGGAGAAGAGCGACAGCTTTTTCTCCATATATAACCCCATCCCCCGCGGCATGTCTGTTGGATCCGTGGTAGGATATTCGGGCCTTTTGTGAGGTTGTCTATACCTCGTCCTTTCTTTACTGCAATCAACTGCAACCATCAATATGCGGTCACTTTCTGCAGCCATTGTGCTGCCCCTGGTGCTCCTTGGTCAGCTTTCCCAGGCACAGATAGAGGTCATCACCAGCACCGAACTCTCCTGTACGACCGAGTCTGTCAATCTGTTCATCAATCCGTCCTTCGAGACGGGCTCAACCAGTCCGTGGAATAGGTTGACGGGTGCCATCTCGGTCATTAGAGATGACTCGGACGACGGGCAGTATGCGGCTCAGGTCAGCTGGACTGGAGGCGCGAACTACGCCATGTCGCAGACGGTGACGGGGCTCCAAGTGGGCACGACCTATAGCTTCTCGTATGACTACAAAATCAGCCAGTCGACCGGACCTCAGGGGTCGACTACTTGTATATTTTACGCTGCGCACGATACCACTATCGTCCTGACACGGGCAACTACGCCATATTCGCCAACAGTGGCTCCCACCTGGCAGACCCTGTCAGCAACATTCACTGCCACCTCGACCTCACACACGTTTACCATGTGGGCCTTCTGTAATCTCTACAACATCTACCGTACGAATGTCGACTTTGACAACGCCAAGCTGCTGGGTCCTGCGCAGGAGACCTGCTCGACTGTGACGGTGAGCTCGACAGTCACACTCACGCCCAGCTCGACGCCGGTCCTTACTCCAACTGCTTCCAGCAGTGCTGTGATCACGCCGTCGCCCTCGAGTGAGGCCATGCTTCCATCGTCCTCGGTGGTTCAGTCCAGCTCAGTGATCGCTTCACCGTCTGGACCGGTGCAGACTGCAAGTGCAACGCTTTCAACCTCACCGACGGGCAGCGTGCCAGCGTCCTCCGTCTTTTCGGTGCCTGCGGCTTCTTCGCCTGTAGTCTCTTCTCCTGTGGTTTCCTCTCCGGTGGCTTCTGCGACCTCGTCGGCTTCTCTGATCACTTCCTCTGCGGTCGTCCCGTCTCGCTCGGCCGTTCTTTTGCCTTCGCCTGGAAGCTCTTCTCCAGTGTTGTCATTCTCTATCATCCCAGTCTCAGTACCCACCTCAACCCCATCGTCCTCTGTTCCCCAATCGAGCAGCGCCACACCGAGTTCTTTCAGTCCTGGGCCAGCATCGCCGTCATCGTCGCCTGATCCGTCCGCCAGATTTTCCTCGTCCGTTCCTGCTGTGACACCCCCAAGTTCTTCCATGGTGTTAGGGCCCACCTCCTCAGGCTCACCAAGTGACCGCCTCTCCTCCATTCCCGCTGTGACATCGCTGGGCTCCTCTGTGCTCTCCGCCCTAAGTTCACACTCGTCGAGCATTGCTCAGATTCTGCCCTCGTCCAGCGCTGCATCCTCTCAAGTCCCATTGTCCAGTGGGCTCCTAACCCCATCGAATCTCTTATCCACACGCAGTATCGACCCAGGATCGTCTACCGGTGCATCCGGGCAGTCGTCTGCAAGTCCTACGTCCGCGCCACAGTTCATCACATCGACTATCCTGACGACCCGGACTGCTACAGTGACCGCATGCCCATCCTCTACCCCCGACTGCCCTGCGTCAGCCAGGAGTACCTTTCTGACCACTGAGACTATTGTCATTGCAACGACGATCTGTCCAGTTACCGAGGCCACCACGTCTGTCACCCCTACGACTGATATATCTACCACCTCTACTATCTTCACCACCCGCACTGCTACCGTTACCGCATGTCCATCCAGTGTGACAGACTGTCCCGCGTCCCATAAGAGCACATATACCACCACGGAAACAGTGTTGGTCTCCACCACCATTTGTCCAGTTACCGCTACCGAGCGACCTACAATCACCGGAGTCCCTGGATCCGTCGCAACTACTGGCTCACACGCCCAGCCAGAAGGGAATTCCGTCGATGTGATTACCTCTACCGTCTTGACCACCCGCACTGCCACTATCACAGCTTGCCCGTTAACAGTCGTCCAGTGTCCCGCCAAGAGCACATTCGTCACTACGGAAACTCTAGTAGCGTCTACCGTTGTGCTCACAGTCGAGAGGACAGCAGCTCCTACCGCTGTCTCCACGATCTTTGCGCCTGGCTCTACCAATGAGCAAGATACCGGCGGTGGCTCAAGCACGGGCTCCGCCTCCAGCTTTGATATTGTTGATGAAGCACAATCCGGCTTCGGTACTGGGGCTAGTGCACACAAAACTGCGCCCTACAACACCGCGGGCTTTGCATCGTCCGGTGCAAAAGATGTCGCCGCTTTGGGGGTTCATGGTGATGTCTCGAAGTACAACCAGACGTTGCCTGCAAGCACTCCAACAAGCCTTCAGACATCGACTGCATCCAGAATCCTACCCGTGCCCTCTAGTCTGACTTTGACCGCTGGCTCCAGCTCCGTGAATCTCTCTACGTCTTCTCAAGCAAGTGGTTCCCTCACCGGGACAGGTACCGTTGCATCAGCACTCTTTACTGGCTCTGCATCGCCTGCAGCGGCAACAGGATCTTCGTTTGCTCTGCTGTTCATAGCAATTGCCATCCTGATTCCTTTCTTTTTCAGTTTGATATAATCATTTATTCTTCTACTTGATTCTATCTCGACCACATACAAATCCTTTGTCTTATTAATGATTGGAAGTCCACGTGAAATTCCATTTGTGGTTCGACTCTTATATAGATGTTTGTAAATAGTGAGCCCTCTTGCAGAAGCTACCAACTCTAGAGATACTTCTCTTCTATTAAACATAACATGTATCCATACCCAGTAGGGACGCGACCAGCTACTTCTTGAGCAGCTGCCCGATCCGAGATCAAGCCCTCTATTCAGCGAACAACAATGCCGTGTCTAATCTATATTCTATCCCTCACTACAAATTACAGTCTTTTCTTCCCTTTCGGAACCCGACAAAGCCAGTAGAGAAACACCGCCCCAAAAGTATTAAACGCAACATACGCCCAGAGCAGCCCAAAATCCCTCCACCGCGTCGCAAAGTCGATGCTAAAACTCCTCAAGTACTGGCTCGTGTTATCAACACGACAATACTGGCATTGGTCGTCACCTCGCGCCGCTGAATCTAACAAGTACCCCCCAGCCGAGGCCATGTACCCCTCCATGTACTCGCCACAAGTCCTATTCGCAGGAGGCGAAAAAGCCAGGAATTCATTAGCAGCGCAGTGCATCGGCGCATCACCCAGACTCGTCGACAACAGGCCTGAAACCAGATACGTAAACGGGTTGACGCGATACATGAAGATCCAGAAACCGGGGAGCGCATGCGGGCCGGCGAGGATGCCGCAGAAGGCGTACATCATGATGCCCATGATGTTTGCGAGCGCGGAGGCGAGTTCGGCGCTGGCGAGGCCGGCGATGAGGAGGTGTGCGAAGGAGCTGGCGAAGAGGAAGGTGGCCCAGATGATGAGGAAGGCGAGGGTGCTGCGCGAATGGACCGTGTCGGTGTATTCTGCGTTGCGGTAGAGGCCGACGGGGTAGAACCACGCCAGGAAACATAGAACGGCCGCGATCTGAATCTTGATTAGTCTGTGTCTGTGTTTGGGCATATATGCCAATGATTTACCGTGTTCCATGCGAATTCCACGGCAATATTGGAGAGAACGAACGCCTGCCAGGAATAGGTCTTGGACTGGCGTTCGCGGGACTCGTAGAGAGTTCGTTGGGTGACAAATGTCGGAATGATTTGGAAGATGAGTTGGATGACGACGAAGAGGAAAACAAAGACGCCGAACATCTGGTTCTGTAGTCCTTGGGCGGTATTGTCGCCTTTGAAGAAGGAGAAACCAATAAAAAGAGACTGCAATTGCATAACTGTTAGACACATACTTAATGAATGGACCAGAAAGTACTTACCGAGCCGACAGTCAGAATCGCCTTGGAATAGATATACGAAGGCGTCCGCCAGTACTGCTGGAACACTCGACGACCAACTTGGCCCAGCTGGGCAGGGAACGAGGCCGCAAACTCGGAGTAGCTGGACGGGTCATCCGAATGCACAGACGAAGGTTGACCAGCCAGCTGTCTCAAGCGAGACAATTCCTGACGAACTTGCTGATACTCAGGACTATTGCGCCAGACAGCTGGCCAGTCGATATCCGTATGAGCTCCTGGTGCGGCTCCAATCACCTCGAGCATATGTTCTGCCGGGTTGGCGCCTTTCGGACAGGGGGGTCCGCCATTGCGAACAAAGTAATCCATCAAGGTCCTGGACCCCGATCCGATCTCGCCAAAATAGACGGTCTTTCCTCCCTTAGCGAGGAGCAGAAGCCGGTCGAAGCGCTGGAACAACATGGCCGACGGTTGATGGATAGTACATAAGATTGCCTGGCCGTTCCGAGTCAACGTCTCCATGAGGTTGCAGATCGACCAGGACGTCTGGCTGTCTAGACCTGACGTGGGTTCATCCAGGAACAAGAGTAGCTTGGGACGGGCTGCCAGCTCCACACCGATAGTGAGCCGTTTTCTTTGTTCAACATTCAAGCCTTCTCCGGGGACGCCGACAATCGCGTCGGCGTAGTCCCGCATATGCAGCAGATCAATCACCTTTTCCACGTACTCCAGCTTCTCCGCCCGGCTGTATTGGGGTGGTTGCCGCAGGAGAGCGCTGAACTCGAGTGCCTCACGGACGGTCGTAGTAGCCAGGTGGAGGTCTTGCTGCTGCACATAGCCCGTCTTTCGTTGGAACGAACTGTCCCGCTGTCGTCCGTCAACGAGCATTTCGCCAGTGACGACTCCGACAGTCGTTCGGCTGGCCAGGACATCAAGTAAGGTAGTCTTCCCAGCGCCGGAGACGCCCTACGAACAGTACCGTTAGCCCTCTCGAATGCACGGACAGACATAACCAGACTTACCATCAGAGCAGTCAGTGTACCAGGTTTGATCCATCCATCGACATGATCAAGGATCCGCCTAGTTTCACTTTTGATCTTCACATCATAGCACACATCTTCCCAGTGAAAGATGGATGTCTGCTTCTCAACACCCGCCACAGGGGTTGGGGCCTCAGTGTACTTTTCATTCTGCACAGCAGAGCCAGTGGGCCGTTCCTCATCACACTGCGCTTGCTTTGCACGCGCGATATGAGCGCTACCACGTCGGAATACAAGCACCTCACCTTTTGATCGCTTCGAAGCAACAAGCTCAGTCGTCACAAAATGACACACAGCAAGGAAGACGGTCATGGCGATGATGATCCCAAAGTTGCGCCAGCGGTGGCTGTTGACGTAGCCGTACGAGGAGCGGACAAACGCGTCTCCAGAAACGACATCTGATCCAGAAGTCGCTCCCACAGTCGAGCATACTCGGTGCGTGCCGGATACATCCTCGTAGCCTGGCCCGGCTGGTACAAAGGATGAACAGGGGAACTCGCGTCCATGGAACTCGTTGACCATCACGGCTTCAAAGCCATATGACACGGGATTGAGCCATCGTATCCATGAAGCCCAGCCGCGCATGTACGAGACAGGAATGGTAAAGCCAGTATATAGAACAAGGGCCAGCAGAATGATAGATGAAGGGGCAAGGGCCTGGTCGATTGTCTTGGTCAACGATGCAAACCAGCGGAAGAACATCGACATGGCCAGCATCATTGACATGGAAATCAACAGGAAGAAGAAAAACGGGCCCGGCTCGCGTCGCAGGTTTGACATGAAGTATAGCGTGAGATTGACCAAGAAAGAATTCATGAACTTATATGGAAGACTCATGATGAAGGAGGATACAGCCTCCGCACCTGGGTGGTAGTATGCGTAGCGGCTCTGTTTCTCCACAATCGTGCGTTTCTCGTACAGTGTCAGAATCTCGAGAATACTCCCAAAGGCGTTGAGCAAGACCATCATGAAGAGAAGGGCGCCGCGGTAGAAGAAGGAGGATGTGTCTCCGGCGAGGTTGTAGAAGATGCTGGCAATGATCAGAGCCTCGAAAAAGTTTCCGATGAGCATGGCCAATGTGACGCTGGGGTCGTTTTTGAGACGCTGCCATTCCCGCCACAAACACAGTTTCACCTGTCCCCAGTAGGACAAGGTGTATGGCGACTTCTCCCGCTGATGGGGTGACTTTTCCGCCCTGCGTGAGAGGGCGAACTGGTTCAGATCGGGTCCATCTAGCGGATGCTCGGTGCTGAACTTTTCGATTGCGCCCAATAGGGTCTGCCGTTGCGGACTATCCTTCCAACGCTGCGCAAACTCTTCTGGTGTCCGAGGAGCCTTGTGCTCAAACCCGGGCTTGACAATGCGTTCGACCGGACTGCACATCGAGGTGAGGAAATCGGCTGTGGTCTGTGATTCAGGGCACTGGAATCCAAGCTGCTCGAAGTAGGATTTGGCCTCATGCGCAGGACCAAAGTATATCTGCCGTCCTTCATATAGAACAAGGACCTTGTCAAACAACTATCTGTCCATCAGCAGGTACCTAGCGGGTTACAGTCGTATTCACTCACATCGAATGCCGCCTGAGGGGCTTGGTAGATGGCCACACATGAGGTAATTCCAAAGACATCGCTCTGCGTGCGCAACGTGCGACAGAATTCCACAGCATTCGCACTGTCAAGCCCCCTGGTACTATTATCCCAGCATTGTAGTGGCGAGTACCCCAGGGCGGCCTCGGCAATGGTGACTCGCTTTCTCTCGCCTCCGCTGACACCACGCACAAAGTCATTCCCCACACGCGTGTTGATTGTATGGCCAATGCCAAACATGGCCATGATCACATCGCGCAGATGTCTGGCGTATTCTTGTCGGGAGAGACCTTCAGGAATCACTCGCGGTGCCCGAGCAAGGGCGGCAAAATACAACGTGTCTCCCACAGAGAGCATTGGGAAGTGAGCGTCGACCTCGGCCGTGTAGATGGCCTCGCCGCGAAAAGCCGTCGACATCTGTTTGGGGCTGATGCCGTGGTAATTGATATATGAGGCTGAATCGACATTCAGACCGTGGGTCTCGCCCGCAATCGTTCTGAGAAACGTTGAGCAACCGGAGCCAGGGGGACCAAGGACACACAGCTGTTCACCGGGAAGCACCAGGCCCTCAACGTCGCGCAGAATATCGACCCGCTGTTTCCCGCCTCCCAGGGCCTGTCGAATCATCGTCGGCACCTTCAGGAGCGCATTACCAACGCTCATCTGATAGTCCACGGGGCTGCCGTAACCAAATACATTCAGATTTTTGAATGCGACACCTGCCACCCGAGGTGTATGGCCATTGTCCTGCGAGTAACGCGCGTTGTAAAAGGCTCGCGCCCATTTCCTAGCATCAAACAAAGGGCCCTGGGGATTGAGACTGCTGCTCTCATCGGCGCTAAAGAGGTATGAATGATGGGACTGTTGGGATTGGGCGCTTAACTTGCGGACCAGGTTTGTCAACCGCCGGTCGATATCTTCAGGGGTGAAATTCTCATCTTGAGCAGCATCCAGGCGTTCATCACCATCTGGGACCTGAGTCTCGGAAGGGATATCTTCCCCGGTTGACCAACGGATATCCGTCGAGTTCAGGGCCATAGCGATAGAACAACGGTTGCAAGGATAATGATCCTACAATTCAGACACCAGGAAGATAGAAAGTCTCGTTCCCTGGGATATTTAACCATGAATACCAGTATGCCACCCATCTATCTCGGCCGCCCGCGGACCACTTATTAAAACAGAAAATGATCTCATCTAGAATCCGGAAAGATTCCAGATCACTTGGCACCCAATGTTATGACTCTGAATTGGAACATTGCCTGCGACAACAGGCAGAGCTGCCTGATCTTGGCCGTCAGCTTTCGGGTCCCGCGGAACCCGCGTCCTCAGCCGCGCCACCGGGTCCTTTTTTGCCGTTCGATGTTTCTTCCATAGAGAGTCCGGATGATTGTTGGATGCTTACTGTCTAAATTGCTATCATAGACAATGAATCAGGCCACGTCGTAATCATGTCTGCCCGGTGACCTCTTTCTTGGCATATCCTTGTAGCCGTCGAGGCCCATCTCCGGGCGCATTATCGGGACTTACTAAGGTTCGCCATAGGCTAGGGAAACATTCTAAGGCGAGGATTCGGAGGTAGCTCGGGAAGTGACCTCTAAGACTTTGTGTAAATAGTTTCATTTGAGTTTTCTGGATGAGATCTGAATGGCGACTTTGTGTGGCCCATTGACCTCCTATCTACGTATTGTCGGCAGCATCAGCTCGGAAATATTGTTCACCGTCTCGCGCCATCGGGAACCTGTGCCATGGATGCTGTCAAGGTATTAGTCAGATGCCGCAATTCTACAATCCGCAGCTGTCCCGCTTGTTGATAGAGTGAGCTCTCCTCGGACAGTGAGAAGGGGACCTCGCTGCCAGCCAGAGATCTTCCTTGAGCCCGTTAGAAACGACCACGGCTGTGGTAGGGGATAGAGGCAGAGCTCAGTTGGCGCACATAGCCCTCATGATGCTGCATTCTGGATCTGGATTGAATCCCTGTCTAGGACTACTCGACGGAGTAGGCTATCTCTTGTTCTAATTATGAGATGAGCGCAGAAAGATGCCTGTCTCTCAGGCTTGAAAGAACGAGGAGTGCCAACCGGTCATGGTGACAAGTAACAGGCTGGCATAGGATTCACTGCAGGAAGGTTGAGCATCCGAGAATCCTCGTTCTGCTTTCGTCTTTTGCCAGAAAAGCAAGGCCAGATGACAAATGCATAAGTTGCTTCCGGCATTGCCGGCCATTGTAGCAAGAGATCCAGACTTGCAGGCCTGCATGAAGGCAGGATAAATACGAAAGAGGGCAGGTCAATATATATAGGCATGGTCCATACAGTGGTGAAGATTATACTCGTGCGGAAAGCTCGAGAGAAGACTGGAGGAGATGCAGACAATATGTCGTCCGAATACGAGCACCAAGCAGCTATGGTCCTTCTATCGCGGTACATGTACACCTGGGGAAGGGCGTCGCTGTCTATACGAGATCTTAATGTCTTGGCCAAACTAATTGACATCAGGAATCGGTCATCGACTACTTGGCATCACTTTTGATATGAACAGAGCATCCAAATGGTACTGGGACGCAGTACCAGTTCGTGTTGAGCTTCAGCGCAAGTACCTCTGAAAAGAAATCTATATAAAGGCTCTCCTGTCCCGCTCAAAGTTGACATCCTCAAGCCAGCTCAACCGCATCAACGGTACTCTGACAGAAGCAAGCATATCACTTTCATAAGTATGCAACTTCCTCATTCTTCATACGACCTGGACTGACAATTGCACAGGCACCATGAAGATCGCAGCTCTCGCCGCCACTTTCGCCCTGGCCCTCGTCCCCAGCGTGTCCGCCTGGCGCGTGTACTTTTACCAGCTGAAGGAGGAAGAGGGCCCATCTATCACCAATGCTGGGCCTGGAAATCCCGGGTTCAAGTGCCATTCCAACGTCGACCCTCTCAACCAGAAGATTTCCTCGATGAGGTACTACTCGGACAATCCGGAGGGCACCACCCGCTGCTGTCTTAGGGTATACGACAGCCCCGGCTGCAAAGGCGACTTTGGCTATTCGTTCTGTCGCAACCAGTTCCTCAACTTCGACGACATTGGTCACGACAACGATGTGAGCTCCTACTCGACCGACTGCTTCAGAATCTGAGTACCTGGCCCACTGGCAATGAGTGAATTGGAGGCTATGACGAGAAGAGGATTATCGGGTTGCTATGTATATAGAATCGAGAGTACTTTGACGATACATTAGCAATACATGGCCCTCTTCATGATTTTCTCGGCTGCACTAGACTCTCCGTACTACTGCCCTGAGTTATCGGCCGTCCAGATCTTGACTCGTGCCAGTGCACCTCCATCTCAGTGGTCAGCACAATCCCATTCTTAGACAGCCTGTGTCCCGTTTCATCGTCTCCTGCTTCAATCATCGTCTCTCCTTGTCCTCGCCTGGATGCCCGCGAAATGTGGTCGAGATCATACCCCATTGGCCCGCTGCGGCTGGCTCCGTACCTGTTATACTGTGGACCAGTCCGGCTCTTGCTGCTGCTGAAGACTTTGGGGATAATCATGACAAATAGTGGTTTTAGAGCCGGCGCACATGCCGCAATAATGGAGAGTCCCACTTCGATGGTGGAAATACAGAAGAGGAGCGAGTAGGTGTAGTCCGCTGGGATGTTGCGGTCGTAGTCGTCGAGCAGGACGACCCGTACAATCCCAGAGATAACCGATCTTCTCACATCAGCCGTAAATCATTCTGAAGAGTAAATAAATACTCACATGCAACCCAAGGACAGAATCCCGATCAACATCAGCTTCTGACCCCGCGCGATTTTCAGGTTATACACAATCCAGGTTGGAAGGATCAGCACCAGGACGTCGGTGAAGATGGCGACACAGGCGGTTCCGGTGACAAAGTTGGCGAAATTGATACATTTTGCGTTTGGGTATGACACAGGGTTCCAGTTCGAGGCAATGGGGACACAATGCAACATTGTGATGAGGAAGGTGGCGACCATGGCGATCCCGTTGAGGATCAACAGGGCGTATATCGCTCTCCGTACGTTCACCTTCTGACCGGTCAAGCGTAATAGGAAGAGGAGGATAGAGGTTTTGATGAGGGCGAGAATGGGGTTGTATAGGAGCAATGTCTGAAAGAAGTCAGTACGTAGTTGACAGGAATCGAGTCCAACATACAGCGTAGGAAAACTTTGCTCCCAGCGCGGCGGGAAAGTCCTTGGGAACGTCCCAGACATGATAGCCGATATACATGTACTTGATGACTGGAATATGTCAGTTACTAAGGAAAAAGCTCCTGTATTGACATACCATAGTAGGAAGTAATCGTCTCAGCCCAATAGAGGACCTTAATTTAGGTCAGCGGGAGTACGTTTGGCAAAAGCATGTCACCCACCTCTGCAAAACAAATTACCCAGTCATCTAACTCGTGATCAGCATGCCTTGACCCGATATAGTACGATCTGGGAACCTACCCGCTGCGAACGTCCGTGTCAATAATCGACTGTAGATGCGAAGGCCCACCACAATCGTTGCCGCCGCGGGAAATGCGAAGATCAGCGCAATCGCCTGGGGCTGCAGAGTATCGCTTGGTGCAGTCATCACGAAGATTCGCAATCCATCGGACGTAATGACAAGAAGGAAAGAAAAAGAAATAGATTATTAGAAAGTGGCCGTCAGATCCTTATGAGAGGAGCGGAAATTGCCACAGATGAAAGGAGGAGGAGAGTTCTACGTTAGGGTTTCCGAGGCTCATGCTGACTTTCCTTGCAGATTTCATGCAACGCAACCTTCTGCCTTCTTTCGCATCTTCTGCTGAAGGCTACATATGTTTCTCCCGCTAGTTTACGAGGTGCTGACTCAATGCCAATGTCTATTTCTCTATAGCCACGCTGTTCGCCAGCTAGAGAACTCGTGTAGCTGTGCCTCCTTCGGTCATCGTATGAAGTTGGCAAGCATTTCGACCACTCGTGACACTTGGTCAAATAGTTCATGCTGAAAGACCTTGAGTGACTAAATCCGGACTGTCCTGGTGAGACGCCGACAAATTGCCGGACGACACTCCAAGACATTTCATCCACATGGGCTGGCCGCGCCCCCATCTTAGGCTCGGGTGTTCTCCTCAGAAGAAGTCACTCATTGGTCACTTAGAGCAAAGGCTCGTCGGTAGCAAAGTCAAATAGATTGCCCCGCATGTTAGTGCAGTGACAGTCCTTCGCCAACTGAGTCGAGAATCGTCTGCTTCGGTGTAAGCGAAGCCAAGTCGGCAACTCTCCTGGGCACAATTCCATTATTCACGACATAGACTAACCTAGACTAAGGGTTTCGGAAGACAACCTCCGTCCCAGCTTTAGTTTTGGTCTCATTGCTATTGTTGGTAGTCTTTCTGGGTACATGTTCGACGGCCAACTGCTGGTACACAGTAACAGCAGGACACCTCATTCCACTGGAGAGTCCTCAGTCTCTGTTTAGCGTTTGGCTCTCTTTTTTCATTAATTTGTCTTTTCCTTCTTCCTTATGTTCTTCGCTGCACATCAAATTACCGATATCAGCACCCGCAGGCCGCAGGAGCTCTAGTCTTCTCTTGCAGCCACATCAATAGTCCTTGTTAGCCAGTGCCACAAAACGTGGCCTGACCGGGGTCACCACATTATAGAGTAATGGCGAATGTGCGTACGAGTAGAGAGGTACTCCCATCTTAATCTCAGCGAGTCAGTGCCTCGACTAGTACGTGGAGAACATATATTTTTCTGCAGTAGTCCATGCGCTAAAAGGCCATCGTCGTGCCGCTACTGACTTAGCTCTGCGTACCGGGTCAGAATCCATCGAATTCTCCGAGACTAGGATCCACTTGCTTTGCTCGAGTCGCAACAGTCGGCTCGGTTGGAGATACAAGATTTGACATGCATGATGCATTATTGTCTCCTAATTTCCGTTCCCGGAGTGTTTAAATATCGCCACATGGCATGCACGGTGTTGACATGGACAGGCTATCTCCCTCGTTGACCCTTGTACCCGGACATAGAGATGATGAACAGAGTCCTGGCTATCTTGGCCGTGGCCTCTGCGGTCGCAGCGCAAGAGGCCAGTGTGTCGGCATCCCTGGCACCTGCTGCAACAACTGTCTCACCATCGGCAACTCTATTCCCATCCGAAACTGTCCAGTTGACTGATGCGGTTCTCGCCAATGTGGCTGACACCATTCAGAATGAGACCGTCTCCAGCATGTTCACCTTTGCCAGCACCAACTCCTCTTCCCTAGCGAAGAGAAGCTTGCACCGGTGCAAGGTTATGCCTGGTGATTGGGCCTGGCCAAACGATCTGATCTGGGGCATCTTCGATCTTCTTCTTGGCAACCGTCTGGTAAAGACGACACCACTGGCAGCATACTGTTACCCTGAGTGGCCCGAGTATGATGCGGCAAAATGTTCCGCTATCACCTCAGGATGGATCACTTCTGATCTCCAGTAAGTGCTTCACATATTTCTAGGGCCGCAATTGACGTGGAACAGCATGGCCGATCCTGCTTCAATCATGCTGCCCCTGTACGAGGGCCGCACATGCATGCCCCCTGGCTTCAACTACACTGACACCTGTGAGATTGGCGGGTATCCCGCCTACGTGGTTAATGTCACAAACGTAGCTCAGATCCAGCTGGCTGTCAACTTCGCCAGAAATCTGAACCTGCGCTTGGTTGTCAAGAACACCGGCCACGATTTCAACGGCAAGGCAGCCGGTAAGGGTGCTCTGTCGATCTGGACGCACTGGCTGAAGGACAAGGCCTTCTACCCCCAGTACAAGGCCGCCAATGGCTACGTCGGCCCGGCTATCAAGATCGGCTCTGGCGTGCAGGTGTGGGAGGCGTATGAATACGCCAAGGCCAACGGCGTTACTGTCATTGGTGGTGAAGCCATCACTGTTGGCATGGGAGGTGGTTATACCGCCGGTGGTGGTCATTCGCCCTTGAGCAGTCTTTACGGCATGGCCGCGGACCAGGTCCTTGCGATGGAGGGTAGGATTCGTCTCATTGTCAGCCCAGTGGCGTCGGCTAACTTGCTTTATAGTGGTACTTGCCGATGGCCGTTTCATCACGGCCACATCCACGCAAAACTCGGATGTTTTCTGGATGCTCCGTGGTGGTGGCGGCAGCACCATCGGCGTCGTCACTTCGCTGACAGTCAAGGCATTGCCCAAGCTGCCGACAACAACGGTGACCTTTAACTTCACCATCAAAGACGCCCCTAGCGCCGACGCCTTTTGGAAGGGTGTCGAGTCGTACTTGGACAACTTTGAGCGCTTTGTCGATGCCGGTACCTACGGCTACTACTACCTCGGCGCATCTGCCTTTCAGCTCGGTACCGATTATGCCGGGTCGACCGATTACTATTTCCGCATGGAGTCGTTTGTTGCCCCCAACATGACGGTTGACGAGACAAAGGCTCTGCTCGCTCCGTGGTTCGATGTGCTGGACGCTCAGAACATCACCTACACTCCGTGGTACAACCATGCCGACAACTTGTGAGCTTCCCATGCCCGTACGGGAATTATAGCTAACTGTATGCAGCCACGACGTGTGGACGGTTGCCTTCCCTCAGGAATATGTTGGAACTGCCCTGGTCAAGACCGCCTCCCGTCTCATGCCCCGAAGCGTCTTCCAGGACGACAGTCTGCGTAGCCGAACCTTCCTTGCCCACAAGGACGCCATCGAAAAGGCAAGCCTTCCGCCAGTTGTCTTGACTCTCGCTAACAATGTTTAGGGCCTCTTTGTCGCTGGCTTCCACATCACCGGCACCGGCAAAGCCGTCACCCCTCCCACCGATACCTCCGTCCTCCCCGCCTGGCGTGACGCCCTCGCACACGTCATCGTCGGCACCCAGTGGACATCCGATGCCAGCTGGGAAACAGTGAAGGACAAGTCTCTGTTCGTGACGAGCTGGATGGACGTCCTGCGCGACATTGCGCCTGACTCGGGCTCCTACATGAGCGAGGGAGACCTGCTCGAGCCGAACCAGCAGGAGGCGTTCTACGGCGCCAACTATGACCGCCTGTACAGCCTCAAGCAGCGGTATGATCCGTGGGGGTTGTTCTTTGCGCTGACGGCTGTCGGCGCCGAGGACTGGGAGGTCCAGGTTACGGATCCTGTGCCTTATTCGTGGAATAATAATGGGCGGTTGTGTCCTGTTTCTTAGATTGCTCTTATAGGCGGTAATTGTTTATTAGTTATAGATTGAAGAGATACTAGACAGATATTGTCGCTATGTTCAACTAACATCTGTATAAGACCCAGTTCTTCGCGGAGATGCTGGAATGAATGCAACCCTCGGGTCGAAGATCCACCCTACGTAAAAATAACAGAGGCAGGGTCGCATAGTTATTGTCATCCTACAGCACTTTCATCTTGGACTCTGGGTGCTATCACATGATAGCATCCGGACGAGCCAAGCCTCCATATACGGTTGAGCTAGCAAGCATCACGGCTAAGCCACATCTTTGCCACACCTATTAACCATAGCGAATACGGGACTTGCCCGAAGAAGACTAGAATTGATCCTCATCTTTCCCGTTCTAGCAAGTCCCTCGTATTTGCTGGACGCATGAAGCAAGAGGCGTTGCCTCTCCCTGTCGACAAGCAATAGTGTAGATTCTCCTCAGAGTATAAGAACGGAGCAGACCTGGATGTTTGGACGAATCTCCAATCCATTAAGCCAAGTTCATTCCACAATGACCTTCCACAACGACGATCATCCCCTTCTACCAACCAACCCTTTACAACAAAGTACTTGCGACGATATGTCACCCGTCAAAGAGCAATCCTCAACTTACTATATCTACCGCGAGCGAAACGACCACATGCTCATCACCACCACCCAACAACCAAAGACACAAAAGGCGCGCCGAAAGAAGCAAAAAGAAGACCCGTCCAGCATCCACGACCCAAACAGATACTTCGTCCACAGACCATACCGCAGTTTCGCCCGCCCGCCCCGGACCCTCCGCTCCGGGGGCTCCAAGGACGGACGGACTATATGCCTCATCCACAGTTACGCTGGCTGGCGGCGGTGGCGATTGCAGTTTGGCAGGGATCTCGGGGACGCAATTGATCCCAGAGGAGTCGTGCAGTGGCAACGACGGACGAATGCCGATAACAGTGTCAAGGCGGATGGCGACCTAAAAGGGTATCGGGTGCGCAGTTGGCGATTATGGGGCGAGTCCGGGAAGGCGTACCATCGCGAGGTCAACAGGAAGCGGAAGCAAGGGGAGTGGACTGAAGATGATTTTACGGGTCATCAACCTGTAAGAGCTACGGAGGCGTGCCTGTTGACGTGGACTGCGCCGTTCTCGAAACGGACCAGAGAATATGCATTCAGCTATGAAGGGGTTGACTTTGTGTGGAAAGGTACCAAGGACTTGCCAGAGGATTGCAAATTAGCAAGGCGGTTGATGCCGGTGCATCACCTGAAATTGGTCGCAATGTTACCGGCCAAAGTGGCCGATGAGGAAGAGGAGGTGGTCGTTGGGTATTTTATTTGCAGTGCCGAGGAAGACGAGTACGGGACTCTTGTCATTGAAGACGCGAAAATCTGCGAGATCCTGGGGATCGACGAGATGCCAGAAGACATGGAACTGGCTCGCGCCAAGGGAGCGACGCCGGCAAGGATGCATGATATGATCATGGCCACTGCTGTGTGCATGATTATAGGCGAGTGGCAGAAGCGCAAGGCAGCAGTGAGCGTGCTCTTCGCGCTGATTTTTGCCGGGGCCTTGAGTCCTGCCCATACATAGACATTGATGATTTGCTTCCTGTACATTAGATTGTTCTGCAATGCATACTTCTGATGTCAACCCGAATTTCTCGAGCGCACCTCAACAGTCATTCACAAAAAGGAATTTGATGAGATGGCGGTAAAGATTACCAGGATACTGTTCAGTGAATAAAATTTAGAATGATAAAAATGTTCAATTATACCGTGATCCGCCAGTCATGCTGGGCAGATCCTCCCTGGGTATCGACATAGACAACCATAATCCATGGCCAGACACCACACCATCCAAGCCGAATTAATTAAAAAAATTTTAAGGACAACAAGTCAGAAAAGAAATACACATCCTCAACCCCTCAGAGCGGGGTCAAACTTCAATGACAGCTCCTGAACACCTAGTGGCCCTGGCCACCGGGGCGACCGTGGGCACCAGGGAAGCCCCAGCCCTGAGGGGTCTTGCCATGCTCAGGACCCTTGGGGATGGCGCCGTGGGGGTGGCAAGAGGGGATCTTGAATTCGTAGTCGCAGACACCGGTGACGGGGCAGTAAGCCGTGCCGGGACCGCAGGTCTTGAGGACTGGGATGCCGCCAGCGGCACATTCGAAGAAGTTGTGGCAGTCGTGGACGTCAGGCCAGGCGTCTCCGGGCTGGCATTGAGGGGCAGCCGCGACAGCGGAGAAGAGGAGAGAGGCCGCGAAGACGGACAGAGCCTTGAGGGTGAACTGCATCTTGATACTGGGCGGAGGTCAGTACGGAGTCATACCCCACTATCAGCGGCGACACGTACATTGATGTGTGGATTAGAATATAATCACAATAGTAGAAAAATATGGACACCTTAAAGACTGAAGGATATTCGACTGAATCGATGTCGGCTTGGAGTGGCGGTAGTTGGCAAGTTGTCGTCTGTCGAGTTGATGATTCCAGGATGAATTGGCAGAGATTGAAGCTGACTTTATACCTTTTTCGAGCTCTAAACAGCTGTGGACGATCGACTGCATGTACATTCTTCGGATGGCATACAGCAGTCAACTTGTCGATCAAGGTAAACAAATAGCCGCTCTCAACCAATTCCAGGAGGATCAACACTCCCCGCAGGTTCCAGACGTCATGTAAACAACAGATTTGGCATTCCTGGGGCTCGCATATCGGGATAACCCATTTTTTGCCCCTGCGTTTGCGGAAACATTACCCTGGTTTGCTGCATTGATTGTTTATTTGTTGTTGTCCCACGTGGAGTTCCTGTTGTCAATTAGCCTCAATTAGTTCAGCTGGAAATACCAATGTTAATGTCTTATTGTCGTATGTAGTGGCACTATGACGCTTTGACAAATTGCTAGAATGATGGTTGCCAATCTACTTAGAGATACCTGTCAGGCCAGAGTCGTGGCGAGCGTACAGTCCGGTCAATCGCCCTACTCATTGGTCATTCTAGAGGCATATAGATACAAATCAACATAGAACCAACCTTGTCCACTTTGAATACTCTCTTCTTGCTCGATCACTTCTTTGGGGGGCGCTCTGGTAGTTGGTGCTGTTTGCACTCACTGTCAAGGGATATTGCTAGGGGTTCGGTGGACGTCGCAAGGAATGCCTCGCGGCTCTGGACGCATTCAGACCTGCCAAGAAAACTGAGATACGTCAGTGATGCAATTCAACTATGCCTGGAGAATGACAACAATCCCATCAATTTGCCTCGTCGGAGGATGCATGAAGTGGCCTCCGTTTATGTCTGCGGAAGTGGTGATGCCAGGATTCTTGTTTTCCTACTAAGATTAATGAATGTTTTTCCTGCGCTTGCTCATTTCCATTTGATGCTTTCGCTTGATGTGACTACTTTGTTATATAGATTCAATCGAAGCGATAGAGGTGTTCCAGTCAATGGTGTCGACTATGAAACACTGGAACATCCGCAGCTGACAGACAGCCAGAAATTTGTAGCTGAAGACATTGTTTTAGAAAATGTTCAACTCTGCCACTATTCTACATGATTTCTAGAGCCATGGAGTATAATAGTTGAGGTTCGAGTTGTTCTTCCCGTCGGCCACTGTAGTTGATATGCAGTATAGGTCCTGATCTCTCAATCTTATGCTCACTGCAATCTTGATAGGTAACAACTGTACTGCATAGTTTTTTTAAGACCATGGATCTCACCTAGTAAAAATGACAATTGTTACGTAGAAACGAGTATATTGTATGTTGTTGATGGATGTTGGAGTATGAGATGTGGGAAATATATATATTGACCACTCACTACTCCACCACCAACACACGCGAATTTGTTGTCAACGTTGCTTAGCATAACTGCCATAATACTTTACAATAGACGAAGATAGACGACTCAGGTTTGATTTCTACTACATCATTTGCTGCTTTGAAGTGACAATAGCTTTGCCTATTGAGTCCATAGTACTACGCTCTTCTAATTACCAGCGGACAGACCGTCAGCCAGCCATAGCGGCGATTTCCTTTGAATTTCTACCTATTAGTTTTGCTGGCCTGGACTATGTGATAGTTATCTACTAGTATATATTGTCTATGAGTTGTTCTTGAGAAAGTTTTCAAGCAGAATCAGTCAGAGATTCGACGCTTATGTGATTCTGCACATATCTTGATGACCTCCCTTGATCGCGAAGCGTCCCTGAAGAGCTATCAGAATCAGTCAGCAATTCTATTCACTGGCCCTTGTGCCTGCCATGTCTTGCAACCCATCTCGTGTTGTCGAACTGAGTCTTCATGTTTAGGAGCAGGATACTCCTTGATTTGAGCAACCGAGTGTGCCAAGAACGGGAATAGTTGATGGAAGTAACCTACGGCAAGGGGCAGCAGAGATACAACCCAGGGGTAATGGATCTCTGATTCCGATTGGTCACGCTCAACTGAAAGGAATGACAAGGAAGCGAAGAATGAATCATTTGCTTCGAGATCATATTTTTATGTCATGAGTAGGTAACCTGTCAGGAGAGGAAAGTCCATTCCGCCAGAGTACATCGACAAGACTGACGATCTGATAATGAATTCTTGAAAGTCCATTTCCTCAAGGCTCTTGTTTGTTTGTTATCTTTTCACAAATGTGCCCTCTAGAAGAGACATACCCAGCAGCAGGATGGCACCGTTGAATCCAGCCAGATCAAACCGGACTGCCGCGAAAAAGACCTCTGGACACCATTCAACACATTTTTTTAATTCATAACGGCACAATTCCCTACCATTTGGCAAATGCTCGAGGATCGCGCAGATGAAGGTGCATATCTCCGAGCGAAGCAATTAAATAATGACCGAGCAATAGATTCTAGGTACGGCCGCTTTCAATCTCCGAAGATCATGGACAAAATGCACGGTTCTATCAAACTTTAACCAAGAAGAGATTGCTGACGTCTGATCAATTGGCAGCGTCAAAGCCCTATAGACCATTGGACGAAAATCACGACGTATCCAAACGCGTATCTCGACCCCGAGACAACCAGAGATGCCCGCATATCGTACTCGTGTCTCTTCCTCAAACCGGTAAACTATACGATTACGAGGACGATCACCCATAGATGATCACATTTCCTGCAGCGACAACAAAAATTGTCGTCATGCAATTATGACGCTTGATGAGGATCAGATTGTATCTGGCTGCCTGGAGATGATCAGCAGAACTACAAAAGGGCGATTTCCGCGCCCGTCATGAATCTTCCAGCGCAAGCAGCTCTGACTGTACCAACACCCCGAACCAGAAACGGCGAAATATGAATTGGATTGCATTTGCGTTGGCAGTTTCCATACCTGTCATTCAAGCACAGGCACCTCCAGCGCCTCAGCCAGAACCGATTGAAGTGACTGAGTTGCCTTTACCTCCCGTGGCCCCCAGCAACAGCACAGGCGCCTGTACAAAGAGCATTAACCCACATGGGACTGGTTGCATAGGAATTACCTCGGACAGCTTTCAAGCTGGCGATTTTACAGCCGATGGGAATCACGTTCTTGTGAATGTCGAATTTATCGGTGCGCCAACGGCCCCGGACCCCGCCAGCATCTACACCGGCCAGCAATTGATTGCTGTCAAGACTGATGGGTCACTCTTCCCTAACGGGGATCCATGGAAGTGTCTCAGCTGTGGCGTCCCTCCCGAGCAAGCACGGAGTCTTGACCCCGCAAGGGATTATCCTCACGCTGCTCGAAATGGCCGTCAGGCTTTATGGGGCCGCAACATACTCGACTGTGGCGATGCTCCCCTTGTGAGCGACGAATGTACCCCGAACACAACATATATCTATCCCATCTACTGGCCCAATGGTAGTATGCGAGAATTGCGCATGCATCCAGATGATGTCCACATGGGTTGGAGCTCTTTCACCAGGGGAGGCCAGAACACCTTCTTCGGGCGTTTGCAGTTCAACCCGAACCCGACGACTGGAAGTCCTGTCGTTCCTCGGTACGACTTGGTGAATGTGAACATTCTGGTCGATCCAAAAGGCCGCTCCTCCATCATGGCGGAGGGACAGGAGCTCAAATTGCATGACGAGGCAATTGTTGTTGGCGAGCTGCGCGGCTTTAGTGGTGCTGGGGACGAGATTCTATACATTGGTCCGACAAGAGAGGCGAACAATATTGACCTATTGGCAGTACATGTCACATCCGGTGCTGTCCGCCGTTTGACTAGCCACCCAGAGTACGCAGATCCCATTGCCTTTTCTCATGACAATCAATGGTTCGTGGTCATGGATACGCGGGGATCCAACCGCCAGATGTGGATGTCAGGCATGCGATATATCCCGCCGCTGATCGACCTGGTCACCGTGACTGCAGCCTCATCTACCCGTAACAACGGTGCTCGCCGCTTCTTCCAGCCTATTTTGGTTGATAGATATGGAGACCGAGAATCGTACTATGGCCAACGGGTCAACGCTGCTGGTGACGGCACAAGTGGCAGCGTCAACGATCCCAACTGGAACGGGCGCGCAGACCCTGCCTTCTCCCCGGATGGCACAAAAATCGTCTTCTGGCAGGCTTTGGTCATTCCCCCCGCATGCGGTGGTCAGAATCCTCTTCCTTGTCCTGTCTCCACCGCCCCAGGTGGTCGTACATACCGAGTGATGCTGGCCCGTCTCACCAGTCGACGACCGGCCGCTCCTGCGCCAGTCTATAAAGTACCAGATATGATCCCCTGGGCGACGGCTTTTCCTCCCGGCGCTAGCACCCCTTCACCATATCAATTACCACCTGGAAATTATACTCTTCGCGGAAAAGCACATGGCACGGCTCAAGTTCACCTCACAGCGTACCCAGAATTCGAAGGCTTCAAGAGTGTAGCTGTGAACTACATTAACTACAGCGACGACGGCCGGCATTTTATCCATGGCCGGGAAACAGTGGCTTTGACATTGTCCGCGTCGAATCCGTGGTGGAATCATGTGGATTGGTACTCGGATTTAACTCAAACAGGCGCTGTGCAGGCTACCAAGCGTACAGGCCCCGGCGGATTCCACTTGTCTATCGATGCTATGACGAATATTTTCGAGGCAAATGGCACGTTGACAACTACAGTGAATGGAGTTGTCTATTCACAGCCGGCAAATGCAACGTGAGGGATATTAAGAATTATATGGAAGAAAATGATAATTGTTCTACAGCCCGAGATCCCTGGACGCATTATGATTTCTAAATCATCAAAAGGTTAAAATGTGCAAGTATTCATGAATGATTGGCATCTTCTCGATCGGCTCGTATTTCACAGTCATTCTGATAGTTATTCCTATGCTACTAGCTTTCGCCTGGGACACGCCAATATAATACCCAAACCTCTCGGCAACCTCGTAAACATGAGCGACTTGTATTAAGCAGTCTATTAAACAGCCTATTAAACACACCATGCACAAGAATGATAACAGAAGTCATAGGTACAACACATTATGACTTTTTAACTGCTGCGACGGCTTCTGAATGGCATCGCACCGCTGTTCAGATCGGAAGATAAGCTGGCGTCTCAAATATTACCTGGCAAAACTGCTATAATCCTCTGATAGTTCGACGTCGTCCTTCGAATCCATATACTTGGCAATTTCACTGGGGTGACAGATATTGAAGACGACCATGGCGATGAAGATCAACACCGCATCGAAAATGTATAGAAAGATCTCATGGTGCAACAAGAACCCATCATTACCCTGAAGATACTCTACCAGTCGGAACACGGACCGGATGAGAATCAAAACACTCGTCGCATACAGTATATTGAGATGTTTCCTCCATGGTATGTGACCCTCGAAGCATCGCGGGATCGGATATTTTCTGAGCTTCATGTCGAAGCTGCCAGCGGTTATGATGAAGAATCCGAAGAAGAGTATCTGAACGAAAAGACCGACCACGATAATGTGCTCGCCGAGCTTCATGCTGTCGAGACCGCCGCTGCTCTGAATGCCACCACCTAGCAGCTTGGTCAGACTGAACCTTATGACTAGGTTAAGAAGGCTGTTACCTGTGCCTTGCAGCAAGAACGAGAGGACATCACCAGTCACGAAGACCTTCGTCAGCCATTTCTTCTTCAGCATCGCATGCGATTCCGCACGCAGAACCAGAATTATCCGTCCGAGCAACATATAGACCGACGCCGCCAGAAGGGCTGGAGCGAGGAGTAGAAGCATCGTCTGGAGGAGGTAGGGACCCAGAGTCCAATTGGGCGACTCGCTGCTTGACATGGCTCGTCCGACATACCCGATTGTTTCGACTGTATCATCAGTTTTGAATATTGTTTGAGGACTCTTCTAGGGGACACTAACAGATCCCTCCTATGAGGAAAGGAATGAAGAACCAGGTTCTTGTGCGAATAAGTTGAAAAGCATGCCATAGTGTGGTTATCGAGAATAGGATGACGAAGCCCACGGCTCCGGCCATGCTAGGATTATATCGATAAAAAGCGAAATCGATCCTGGCATCAGATGCCGCATCTGTGGTTCCATTGCGCGCCTCCATTTTGAGATTCGACTATGAGAAACAGTTGTTGCGGTTGACTTCGACATTCAGACGTCGATCTCTATGAATATATGACTAGACCATCGATTCAGGCACCACCAATTCATAAATCAATCCACTACAATCTGGTGGCTATTATTATCGCATCAGCAGTTTCAGCTTTGCGCCATTATGATCACTTTATGCCCTATCGTAGCAATCAAGCCAGGAAACGAATGTACGAGATGGACCTAGTTTTTCTGGAATGAGGACCACGATTCATCCATACATAGCAACCAATAACGAGTGCAGTTGGGCACTCTAATGTCGATAGCGCTTGTTAGCGCAGAAACTAGACAGCGGACTATCCTGGCAGACTCGCATCGGCTATACGCGTATTCGTGTGTTCGTTTAGAATACGAGTCCGCGATTGGTTGAAGTTGCCTGTTGTCCAGGGGTACCATTGATCACGTATTCCGGTTTATTAGTGCATCCCTTTGTACCAGACTTTAAATATTATTATGGGGTATTTGGAAAAGAGCGTGCTCTTGCCCGTTGGAGAGTATTATGCCAGAAACCTGTTGATTCAGGACCGATGAACTACATGGCCATGCACCAGTGACCCCCAAGACCCAGCCTCCAGTCGAACCTTTGCCGATTTCGCCATCTCATCCAATCTCTTCTGGTCTGGATCTATTTTGCCCGACTTCAATGGCTGTACTGAGCCATCAATCTGCAGGTCCGCACACAGCAGCGCCAGCGGAGAGGACTTCCAAATGTACTGATTCCGAGTATGAATGACCGTGACGACGAAGAACAATATGCTCAAGACGACCAACACAATAGGGAGCAACATCCACAGCCAACGGATGCGGATGTATGATACATTCGTCCACGCGTCGCCGGACACCGTTCCCTGGCAGACCCGATTCCTGGCATTTGCGGTGAGAGCCGCGGCGATGGAGGCCAATGTCCCGTTGATCTGGGTCAGATTGCCGGACCCGCCGTACAAGGCGCGCAGGGTATCAGAGGTGAAGTATGGCCTATTCACTACGGGCAACGTTCCGAACCCTGAAACCAGGGGACTGAGGGTATTCCTCATTGCAAGGATGCTTAGCCAATTGATGGCGTAGTTGCACTGGCCGTCGTTCAGACAAGGCTGTGGCGATGCTACGGTATTCAGAGTCAAGTTCGTGGTGGAATGGTTGGATATGGTTGTTGTGGGAAAGCTTTCCTCGGTCAGATCGCCTCGCCTAACAATTGCTTGGTGAGTCGAGACGCAGAAGTAGAATGCACATTCCATGGCCGTCACCTGAGGTGGCATGGTCTTTCCCGAAGTAGTGATAGCCGAGAAATTGAGAATGAGCGGCAAGCCTGTTGTGTCCAGACGGACGAGGTCGACATTCGTGGTTGCCTTGATGGTATACGGCGACGCCGCGGTGGTGTTGAAGAAAAGGCCGTTCGGAAGCGTGTAGTTGTACGAGTATGTGCTGTCGTCTGAACTAGTCAGTGTGAGTGCACTGGTCAAATCGCCGCATTTACTGCAGAAGCCGAGCGATTGATAGGGTGCAAATGTGCAATTGCCTGTTGGACAAGTCACTGAGGATTGATCATGGAGCGACGTCTGCATGATGCCATTGTATATCGCTCCTGTTGTCTCCAACGGCACCAAGTTCATTCCCGGACCTTGACCCGCCCCCCAGTCTTCATAGATGCTTGTGTTGCATACCCGGATGGCGGCGCCTCCTTCGCGCGCAATGGAGCGGGATCGGACATCGATGACCTGCTGGGTGAAGGGACCAATTGCGACAGCGAAGACTAGAACAAAGGCCCCGAGAGAAACGAGATGACTGTCAGTTCATTAGCCTGGTGACAATTAACCGTGAGGGATTTACGCACCGAGGCACGTATTGAACAAGGAGCTGTGCTGAACCCCAAGCACCGCGACTGGCTGAATCGAGCGCAGAAAGATCACTCAATTTGCGCGTTTCCTTGAACCAAGTCCATTTGAGTTGCGACAGAGCTTCTGCAATATACGTGGCCATGGCAGCTTTCATGAGAGTCGTCAGCAGGGCGATGATGGCGTTGAGGTTGATCCCTGCTGGCCAGTTTGGCTGCGTCTTTCCGTCGTAGATGCGCAGGACCGCGATAATGCTGACCAACGTGAGGATCGCAACGACGCATGCTGCAAGTTCCCACGACCAGTCCCAAAGCGACCATCTTATCTTCTCTTGGTCATTCGGTGGTCGGTAGTGGTGCATGGTGGTTGGCTGGTATGAACCTTCATGCACTGCTTCGTAATTGTGAATATGGACTGGAACATAATCTGATGGACCCTTTGCCACTGCCATTTCTGAGATATAATGGTCATATAAAGGGTTTAGATCAAATATTGGCCTCCAGCCAACAAGAGTGTGACCAGAACCCAGGGGAGCTGTTTCCAGGCAGCTCGAACACAGAGAAAGGAGCAAGATTTAACTCTTTGCTCAGGCTCTCAGCTGCTATCGACGGTCAAATAGTCTCCTGCATATACGAGAAACAACATGTTGTGGCTGAACATGGCAAATGAGCGGACGCTGAGAGCTGCATGGCGCCCCTGGTGGTCGTTACCCGACAATCAGGGTCTTGAATATCAGCCTCCACATCCCAGAGGCTGACAGGTCAAGGCAAAGGAGCGCGCCATTTGTATCTTGTGATGAGGAATAAAACCTTGACAGAGCTAGTAGTGTCCAATAGGTGCATGCATTGCTCGGTTGTGATCGCCCAGTTTGCGCTGGCAAGGCTGAAGGAATGGAGCTGAGGATGTCTCCTCATCCAGCCGACAGTGGTTCGTCGTAGGAGTGGGCCAGTCCAAGCTTTCGGTTAGGACTGTTTGATTGCTTTATCAAGGCAATCTGCCGCAATATGCGTTCGTCTAATCGGTAGATAAATAACGAGGATTGTGTAGCAGAATAGAACGCCGAAGCTGCGAAAGACACTCAAGAACCTAGTAGCCTTCACTATGGATCAAGACTCCCCTTCGAAATGTATTCTCTTCGCTTACACTAATTATTTGGTAACCTCTCTTAACACCTTCTCCACCTCTGTTTGATTATTTGCCATGGCATATGACAGCATTGTCCTCCCATCAAGAGAAACTACTGATGGATCACAACTCGCCGCGAGGAGTAGCTTGACAACTCCCACATGTCCACTTGCTGCAGCATAGGAGAGAGACATGCGAACGTAGCAATTCGCCTATTGACATCAATGTCCCTGGAGTGGAGGAGCAATCGCGCTATCCCTTCGTACCCATGGTGCGCTGCATAGACTAACGGCGTGCATCCCGTCGCGTCTCGAGGGTTCACATTGATCTTTTGCTCTGAGAGGAGCACTTGCTGCTAAGCTACTTGAGAAGATAAATTGTAAACTCCACCACGTAATGGCTCGTGTATACCTCCAATCATTTTCACAACATTCCTAAATATCGGCGATATCGATATATATATATGTTCTCTGAGCCGTGGCTTCATTCTCACCAGAGGCTATTTTGAATCTGATCATCGGGATACTGTCCTTGCTCGTCGCGCTTCTGACGCTGTTGGTTACGTATCGCATGTGGAGGTATCCATTCTCTCGAGGTCTGAGACTGTTTTCT